CCTCAGCATTATTATTAATTATTCTGTTTCTGTGACAAGGAAGTACCAAAACTCATGAAATACATTGTTTTCATGATTGACATCTCCCCGGAAGCTGGTTTGTAACTTTGCCTGTTATGAAAATTTATGACGAAAAGTTAAGTTGAGCAAATCATTGACCAAAATGGCTTAAAGGAAGTTAAAATGCACGGCAGGTTTAGTCACGATCAGACTTAGACTTACCTAATATTATCAACAGGCTATTCCTCATTTGGACCACACTTTATCAGTTTGACCATGTTTATTCTCTAGAAGGAAATTGAAGCATAATTTTAAGCAAATGTTTGAAAAGTTTGAAATAAGTAATGGGCTAGAATATGTTTTTACCTGAAAGATGGTTGCAGGCTCACCTTTTTCACATTTCAGTACTGGATGAGGGCCTAGTATTAGCAGATAGTATTGTATAGCCTGCTTTATTTTTTAATTTTTTATTCAAGCAATACCATTGTTAAAGAGGCAGTATTATGCTAAATACATTTTTAAAAAAAAGATTTCTACCATGTTCCCTGACCAAAAACATGCCTCCAGCGGTTTTAGCTGCATGCATGTCTGAGTAATGTAGTGATCTCATTCAGTGGTAGAAGAAATATTCAAGAGCAAAAAATATTCAACTAAAAGTATCACATGAAAAAAATCTATTTAAGTAAAAATATCCATTTAAAAATGTACTTAAAGAGCAAAATGTTAAAGTATTTTGCTCAGATTTGAGGTCTTATGCAGCTGCAAATGTAATGATTTTGGTAAATATCTGTGCTGAATTTTGTTAAGCAGAAACAATTGAATTTTTTTTTTTTCTGTTTTTATTTGTATATTTTTGTTTTTGTAGTTTTAGTCAAACTATGAAGATGTTAAAAATAAATCCTCAGCCTTTTCAGCAGGTCTCAGACAATCAGAAAAAATCCTTTTACTTTCCAGTCAGTCCAAAAAATGTAGTGGGGTAAAAAGTACAAATACCTTCTCTCAAATGTAAAGTAAATGTGAAAAGTATCCACTTTTTGACTCTGGGGCCAGTCCCTGAGGTCCTCAGAGTATGAGATGGGATATGGTTCTAACATGTCAGAGATGTACTCTGGTGCTAGGCCATGGAGAGTCTTGTGCACAAGAAGAGCTACTTTAAAGTTTATTCTTTGGGCCACAGGAGCCAGTGCAGAGACCTGGGAACAGGACACATGAACTCAGACTTCCTGGTTCAGAGTTCACTATGAAATTGAGATCCAAAACATAGACAGACATGAAAAACTTGGCCATTATGTTTTTCATTTTTAAATTAGGAATAAATACAAAATAAGAGCTATATTTGATTTGATATTTGATGTTTACCTCATGTTCGGGGACATTTGGTCGCTTTTATGTAATTGTTTGCATAAAGGCTGTGAATTTTCCAAGTAAACCCTATTTAATCCAAACATAAACTGCTGCCTCTAAACTCTTCCTCCATCCTTCATGTAATCGACCAATCAGATCTTGCCACGTGTACCATTTGCATCTATCTGATTTGAATGTGACAAAACACACTCACAAAGACCAACCACTTTTTCCATGGGGCTCGTATTCGCTCTGTTCTGAGAAATGCTGTCACAGTACTAAGATTTCACTCATGATATTAATACTAAGGGAAGATACTCAATAATATGAGTTTTCACACCACTGTGAAATTAAATAGATGAGCCACAGTGGGTTTGTGAACTCCTGTCTCTTCTATCATCTTTAAAAATACTCAGGAAAAGTCAAGCATTGCAATCTAGTTAATTTTAGTTTTAGGATTTATTACCGTAATTGCATGGGGATAGCTTTTTGTAATTCAGAGTTCAGGAAAGAAATACAAGATCAGTCTCAATTAGTAAACTAGTGAGTCTGTGCTTTATTTCAACACAAACTGATTTATTTAGAACCACAACAGATGAGCTGATTTGTGCTCTTACACAAGTCCTCTCAAATCACATTACCATCACTATCTAGCTAGCTTTAGCCAAAATAGTTTTTCAGTTAGTCACTCTCACTTTTTTGTTGAAAATCAAACACTTCAAAACACAGTTCCATAACCCTTGTATTGATCACAGGTTCCTGAAAATGAGTTGATTTTTTTTTTTCTTGAGTTTTCAGACCATCTTAAACCTTTCTTTATCAGTGTTTGCTAATGTGTGCATTTTGTCACCATGGTAGCTGCTGAACATTCCACCAATACAGATACACGTAGAACACCCCCAGCATAATGTCACAGCAAAGGATCAATAACACATAAATTGTCTTTCAACATTGATTTCCTGTATAGACATACAGTATATACACACTTTATTTAAGTAACTTATCTTGTGGAGGGTATCAGGTTGAAGACCCCTGATATATGGAGACAAGCTTGTGGTGTACCCTCCACCAGAGATGTTGCATAAAACAGGCAAATTTCTCCTCCAAAGTCTGAACTCTGCTCCAGACCCACACTTTCACTGACAGCGGACTTGCTGTGGACCTCTCCATTAATCAAAAACTCCTCATATATCATATATAAGACTAGAAATGACTGAATCTTTTAAAATGTAATTGATACTTGTTTGGAGTGACATCACACTGGGGATATTTTACATGTGTGCATATTAGCGGAATGTTCAGCAGTTACCATGGTGACACAATGCACTCATTAGCATATAACTCTAAATAAGTTTTAAGATTGGTTGCAAAATGAAGAACATGTATTAGATACAAAATGGATTTAAACAACACATTTTCAGGAGTCTGTGATCAATATGAGCATTCATGGTGTTGTTTAGGTGTTTTTTGTTTTCAACAAAACGGTGAGCGTGACTAACTGAAAAACTCTGGCTAATGCTACGTAGATTGTGACTGTAATGTTACTTGAGACTTGTTTAACAGCATAAAACAGCTCTCATGTTGTTCTAACTCAGTCAGTTCTAAATGCTCAGATTGTGTTAAAATAAAGCTCGGATTAAAGTGTAACAAAGCCTCAGAGAGTGCATGCCTACAGTTGGTATCACACGCCTAGGGAACATCAGCTGCAAACGATCATTTAAATGCACCGCCCATAAGTAATAGCCTATATTACAGCTCAGGCTATGCTATAGGTCTGCATTTTATGATGAGTAAAACCATTTTGCCATCGCAAAAGCTGCCTGCATTTCTTGCTAAACTGGCTTTCACTCTGCTCCCTCTCTTGCTGTCTCACTCATAGTGGAACAAGACTCTTCCTTGACAACAAAATATTCAAATACAGTTAAACAGGTTAAGCTTAAATTCAAGTTGTGTTTTTTGACCAGGTTTTGAGTGTGTTTAATCTTTGGTTGGTCCTGGTTTTGACTGTAGTTTGTTTGACCTAGATTAGTCCTGGTTTAGTTGTGGCTAAAACTTTTTTTTTTATGCTTGGTCCTGACACTTAAGTTGTCTCACTTTAGTATGTAGTCCATTTTAATTTTAGTTTAGAAGATAAGGCTGCTTGGTAATATATGTTTTAATGTTCTTTCAATAGTTAAGCTAGAGGAAGAAAATGTTATATCACATTTGTGTTGGTTTTGTGATTGGTGTTTTAAAAGTCATTGTAAATTAGCTTTGCTCTGGGTTTCAAGGGATAGAACAAACCCTATCATTCACAATAAGATTTTAATTCATCATTCATTTATTTCAATTATACAGTTTTTGTAACTGATTAATGTATAATGATTTAAACACAACGTCATTTGTCATTTAAATGGGTATTGATTCTAGGATATTACACCTGCTTTGTTCTGATTTCTAAGGGCAGCTCTGAACAAAAGGTAGCTATTGTTAAAACATCCATTACTTTTTTCCAGGAAGTACGTTGCTAATTTTTTCCTTTCATAGGCATTTGACAGATGCATATACTTTTTTCAATTTATTCGCAAGGACGCTTTCGAGCACTTAACAATTAACTAAATAAAAGTGAACAATGGTGTAATTTAGACAAGTTTTGGCCCTTATTTACGTTATGGATGCTAGGTGAGATATGTATACCATATCTACTGCCTGTGTTCAACCAGGAAGTAAAATTATAAACTTCACCAAAATTACAAAACTGGAAAAGAACAGGCAAAATATTGAATAAAATATAAAATCTAATGATGTTATGTTTTGGAGAAATGAGTAGTCTAACCTGTCATATGCACTTTGACTGTTTGTAAAGTACTTTTAGATAATTCTGATAATGAATTTTCCCATATATTTACACATTTCCTGCAGTTTTTTTCCTTACCGTAACCTCCACCACGTGTTTGACTTCTGAAATATTATGATTGTGCGTTATTATGTGTTGACTTTGCTGATAGCTTATCGGCCTGGGAACACTGACACACATAAAGGGGCTAATGGGCTCCAGTTAAAAGAATGGTTATCCAGTGTTTGAGATAAGCACATTGTTGGTCATAAAATGAATTGATCTGAGCAGTTAAGCTTGGTTTGATTTGTAGAGGACAAATTTTCTCATAAAGAGAAAAAATCATGTTAATGAAGGAGGATTATGTAGCTTTTCCAGTCTCTATAGAGTTGAGATGTTATTGCTATTCCTGTTTCATTTATTGAATTTAAAGTGTCAAAAACATGCATTTTTATTGTGAGTGGGCATGCCACCGCACAGATTTGATCTTCATCCTGTCCTGGTGGTGTCACCCGCTTGTCTTGATTGTGTTATACAAGTTAAAAGCCATACTGTGGAACTTTCCTGGCAAAGCATTAGTTTCTCAGTGAAAACAAGGAGGTGACAGAGGAGCAATAAGTTACGTATTACATTAACTACTTCATAAACTTAAACATAATTTTTCACGTTGTTTCACACATGCTTGGTATAAAAAATACACTTACCCCATTGTCAGACAGTTCATTATTTCATGTCACGCCAAAATTCAAATCAAGATTAATATTTGGAATTCAAAGAGATGTCCAATTTTAGTATGTAAATTATTTCTCCTAAACCACATGCATTATGTTTTGTTTTGCAGGTGAGCCGTGCAAGTTTGATGCCAACTTTAAAGGACCAATAAAGAACAGGTGAATGTGGTTTGAAATGAGTGTTTTTCACTTTTAACTTATCATCATATTAAATGTTCCATAAAAAATGACTCCTGTAAGCTTGAAATCATGTTATAATGGTGTTGCCTCATCAGAAACTTACCTGGGGTTGTGTTTTGTTGTTTATCACACATGTTTGAGTTAAGTATTATTAGTCTACATGTCGATCAAAATGCTCTGGTTCACCTTGTGATGTCATGACGTGGTAGTTTTAAAGTTAGTAGCTCCTTTTACCTTCAGTAGCAATTGACAATTTCTAAAATGATTCTAGTGAAGATGTATGGAGTTTAAAAACACAGTATTACCATATGAGATCACCAAGTGGAACAGTGTTTTCTGTTTGACAGAAGAACTCAGCCTAAATATATAGGTTGTGTGTGTTAAACATGTGTGAATGAAACAAAAACAAAACTTCAAGTATATTTTTGATGAGGAAACAACATTATAAATTAGATCAGAAAATAATATGGACCCTTCAACAACAACTCTATTCTCTTCTCCTTTTGTTGTGTTCAGGAGTTGCACAGATATCATTTGCTGCATCTTATTCCTTCTGGTGATCCTCGGCTACCTGGCAGTGGGAATTTTAGGTAAAATAAAACTCAAATCAAACCACAAGTTTATTCAAAATATTTATTAGATTGTTTTTTTTTTTTAGTTTTCTGCCCTAATGAAGTATTGTTTAACAATTGGCTGCAAGTGCTGGGGCTTAGGTAGTGACCATTCATTCCAGAGAGAGCCATTTTAGGTTTAAATCAGCTGCACTCATATGAAGGCTCATTCTGCTTTCTGATTGGATAATTGTCTTGAGAACCACAACACCGAATTATAATATAAATAAATCCAACCTCATGTCCGATGCTTTTGTAATTTGAGAATTGTTGTCAATAAAAGCTCTATTTGATTTACCATGTTTACCTCATATCTGGAGACACAAAGTAAAGTTTATGAAATGTAAAACACAAATCTTACTTGCAGTTCATTTTAAATATTAGTATTTGGACAAACCCGGGCTGGTATGTGTGGAGTGGTGGTCAGTGGGCTTGGCTCTTATCTGGAGTGAATGCAGAGATCACTGAATGGGGGCTGTATTGAAGGAAGTAGGATTGAGGAAGTACAAAGGTTTTTCTTCTCAGCTTAGTGCAGCACATGTCCAGCCTGGAAATCATTCATGAACCTTTTAGTGTTTTTCAAAAAGTGTCTGCATTACTCTGTAGTTGTAATCTCTAGCAACAGTTGTCCTGGGGCAGAATGACAGAAGCTTGGCTGACATTCTGTGTAAACTGTAAACTTTTACAACCAATATCTCGTATATATCTCATTCATACATATATTATAAATATATTTTATTCAGGTGAGGTAGGTGAAGTGTCTTGCTTAAGTTTACCACTACCTTTTTACTATTAGCTCAGTAACGATTGACAATGTGACAGCTGCAACATTTCCTGTATTACCACATGACATCACAAGGTGGAACAGAGTGTTTTCTGTCTGAGAGAAGATCTAAAGAGCTTAAATATGGAAGGTTTGTGTGTTAAACATGTATGAATGAAACAAACCCCCAAATCTCCAGATATGTTTTTGCTAAGAAAACAACATTGTAACATAATAACAGCAGGATATGGGCCCTTTATTCACCTTGTTTTGAATAGTTTTTCCACATTTGTTGCATTATTACAGTTCATTCATTGTTTTGTGTCTTTCAGCCTGGCTATATGGGGACCCGCGACATGTCCTCTACCCTCGAAACTCCACAGGATGGTTCTGTGGCACTGGACCCAACAAGTAACTACTGCATTTTAGTTAGTAATCATTTTAAAGTCAACATGTCTCACCTGTTATTTCTGTATTTTTCAGGGATTTACCAAATGTATTTTATTTTGACATGCTCAAATGTGCATCCTCAATCAATATACTGGCCACAGCCATCAATGGATTTCAATGTCCAACCACACAGGTGAGGCTTTTGAATTATTTGAAATGTATTTATTTACATATTTTACTCAATATCAGTTAATTGTATAGATAGCTGGCAAAACCTATGCCTCTTGTTCAATCTACATTTAAATATGTTCATCACATTCATCTTGTATCTGTAGCCTCAGACAGAGCAGTACTTAGAGTTAGCATCACACCCCCAGGGAATATTGATGACATCAGCACAGTATCAATATAAGTGATTTCTAAAAAGACCTTCTCCTTCACCTGCAGTGTCTGGTCTTTATTTGAGAAAACCATCTACAGTGTAAGAATTGTGCTCCTTCCTTGCATTATATTTTTCAGGTGTGTGTGAAAGAATGTCCCAGCACATTTTGGGGAGTGGGGCTTACTGACCTGGGGAAACACCCTTCACGAGTTTTTGATCAAAACTTCTGTGTGCCTTCAATAAACATAAAAACAACCACATTGGTGAGTTTGATTTCAACACTGGCTGTGTTTTTTTTAGTAATAAGACTATTTAAATGCTACAAGACCATGTAATTGAATAAATAATTGAATAATGTGATGGTCAGTGATTTTGTGTTTGTTTGTTTCAGAGCGTAACACAGGTCACAGACAGAGAGCTGTGTCCATTCTTCACCACGCCAATGATTTCTGGTAAGCCTTGCACTAGACATTTTACTAATTTTTCACTTTTTCTCTCAACAGTACCATACATGGGTTTTTCTCTATCCCAGCAGCTACTTGTTTTGTAGAATTTAGAAAACAAAAAGTAAAAAAAAGTCCAGGAAGTAGCACTGTGTTCTGAAACGGAATACCTCTACCTAAGTCATCAACTGTCCTCAATTTCATCCAAAATGCAGAGACGGTTTATGCACATTTATTTCTTATTTGTCAAACCATAAATGTAATTTAGACACTTTGGCCCTTGTTTACATTATGGTTGCTAGGTAACATAACGCTACATATGTCAGATCTACAGCCTTATATTATATTATTATTATATAGAATCAAAATTACAGAACTAGGAAAAAATAGGCAAGTAAAATCTTAAATCTAATAATGCTAACTATGTTTGAAAAATAAGAAGTCTAACCTGTCAAATGCACTTTCATTTAATTCAGTAAACATAATAATTTGTGTACTTTTTCCTTCACCATGCATCCTTTGTCTCTTTTTAGTTCTCGGTCGTTGTTTGCCTGACGTCTCAGCTCTTAATCAGATTCCAGACTTCTTCAGTGAGATCCCAGGTTTGCCCCCCTCCATCAACGACACTGCTAATATGATCAAAAATGGCACTGGGTAAGATTCCTCATCAACTTTACAAATAATAATAATTGAATAATTTTACATTAACATAAACCTGCATTACCATCTCTTCTTATTACAGCCAAAGGTCAGTGATGGTGTGTTTTTAATGTCAACTGAAGTAGCAGTAGACTGTACTGGCCAACAAAGGAAAAACGTAGTAAATAGTCTTAAGACCAAAAAACACCTACATAACAGCTGCTTTATTTGGTGACAAAGTTTTATGTCTCAACTCTGTCATGTTTTTCCTCTGTAGGGCAGTGTAGTCCCATGGTAGTAAAATGCTTTGTGTGTCTGATTTGCACAGGTCCAGTTTTAGATAAGTGATTCTCAAACTGGGCTATTGACTCCTATGGTGGACTATATTAAAATGTGTCTTTATCAAATTTTTCCCTTATATAACCTTAATGCCCTGTTGTGGAACATTTCAGCCAGTAGATTCAACTACCCATGGCTTTATTGCTAGAAATAGTGTGTGTTCTTATGATCTGTTATTTTTTTATTTGATAATTGTTGGTGTATTTGGGCTTAAAGGGCGCTTTAGATTTTGTGTCCTTGTTTGTCTCGCTGCACTTGTAAAGTAGGGTAATGTTCCATAATAAGGCTTTAAATTCAGATTCAGAAAACATGATACAGATTATTTAAATTTCTAATAGTTTCTAAATGAGGTCTTTAGGTCTGGTTTAAATCTATATTAGTCATGGAGATGTGGTGGTTTAGTCTGAGTTCAGATCTATTTTTCAAAGCTGGGTCATTGCACATTTCCTCAGTTACATTACTAGAGTGACTTTATTATTATGCTGTTTAACTCCAATTGGGAAGATTTATAATAATGGTACACTACACTTACATGGTGACTCTTCTCTCCCTACCTCTGCTCATTATAGTCTGTACTGTGGTATGCAATAGTTATATTGTTATATTGCTTTAAAGTTTGAGAATCAGTGTTTTTTGCTTTTCAGTGTTTGTAGTCCTCTCTGTAGTTGTAGTTGTCTTCTAGTTGTAGTTCATTGGACTATTGTTTATGCCTGAATTACTGAATTGAATTTTTGATTTTTAAAACCCGTTTTAACCCTTTTTCTTCACCAGTGAAATAGTAAATGGTTTTAATGCCAAAGAAATCGGAGTACGGATCTTTGAGGACTTTGCTTCTGCTTGGCCCTGGATTCTCCTGTAAGTTTTTTTTTCATTTGCTGTCACCTGCTGGAGCAACTAGGGACTAGGGAAGTTTTGATTAATCCATTTTATTTATTAAACTTGATGATAAATTTTAAATATAAGTTGTGTTCGTTGTATTTAAGAATGGCAATATGAGGATGAGTTAAATGAATGTGCAAGTCTTTCAATCGTAAATGTATTTATTGCTACGAAACACATGCATTCTTACTGTGAGCAGGGTCACCTCTCCAAAGATCTGACTTCTCACTGGTGGACTGCTTGTCTCTATGGAGTTCATTTAATGGCATACTGTGGAACATTCTATGTAAAGCAATAACATCTCCATGGAGACAAGCAGGCAGTGGACCCTCCATCAGAAAAGTTATAGTGCACCTTTAATAGAACTGGTCACATTTTGTATTGTGATCTACTTAAATTGAATACAAATAAATGAAGAAGTCTATTAATTCATAAAACATTATCAAACTTAATATGGAAATATTAATTCTCACAATAACCTTAACACTGATGTTGACGTTGACATCTGTCGTCCTTCCTCTGTCTCAGTGGTTTGCTGATAGCCATGTTGACCAGCCTTTTGTTCCTGCTGTTGCTGAGGTTCACGGCCCCGGTCATGGTTTGGGTCTTGATCTTTGGAGTCCTGGGCGCTGGAGCCTATGGTAATGTCTCATAAACGCAACAATTACACTAAAGGATTACTGATGACCACCTCTGATTTATTACAATTTATTTATTAGAAATTCTATATTAAGGCAATTAATATAGGTAACCACATTTAGCAACTAAATAATACAATTTGATTTAATAATTATCTCTTGATCTTAGCACAAAACCTAAAACTAAAGCACAAAAAATGGCCTCTACAGACAGTTGTGCTCATCAAACACATGTGGAAATGTTGAATATAGAGCCATTCAAAATATTAAGACCTGGTTAAGTTTTCCAATGTTTAAAGAAGAGTTAAAAGTTAATTAACAAAAAATAAAGGCATTAATGGTCCTTCTGTTGCATGTTCCTTCAGGCATATGGCACTGTTACTGGGAATACGACAACTACAAGAAGAACTCTGCCACCATCTCAGACGTTGGGTTCACCACAAACATCAATGTTTATCTCCAAGTCCAGGAAACATGGCTGGCCTTTTGTGAGTTGGAAATGCAGAATAAATGTAGAATATATCGACAGTTTAAGACAAAATCTCCAAACATGAAATCCAATGTTGAACTCTTGGGCATTGTGAACCCAATCCCTAACAAAAAATATGACTCAGCTCTTTTAAAATTACCACACATGCCATAAACATTTTCACCACTATTTGAAGCTGTTGTGAAAAAATAACTTTCATATAGGCAGATGGAGAAGACGGTAAATTTCGTGCCAATTTTTTGTCTTGCTCAGTCATTTCAGATATAAACCACAGACAAGGACAGTACTGGAACTTGAGAGCCAAATTCTACCATAGAATACTGACTTGCTACTAAATTTTAGAGTCACCATAGAATTCAAATGATGAAAATTTTGCTCTGTTCTCTTAGCAATTAACAATATTCTATGCTTTGAATGGTCAAAAGTCCTCAAAATGTCACCTAATAAACAAGAACATGAATCAGATTTATTGGGAATCGCACACAGTCCTTAGTTTGTTATGTGGCCTATGTTATCAGGGGTATAATACTCCCTGCAACAGAAGTATAGTCAGACTTGAATGGACAGTATCAAAATAGGTTCATGTGTCCTTGAATCATGGGAAATAATCTTCTCAGGAATGGCAATTAAACGATTAACAGCAATAAAATTAATAATCAGACTGATGCAATACATTTTATAGCAGAAGTTTGCCCTAGTTCTGTGTTGTCATAAACCACAAATAGAATGGTTAGCTATTAGGGTTAGAGTGGGTTGTCATTAGTTGATAATATAGCTGCATGAGTTGGGAAAAATACAGAATTGTGATTTATCATTGTGATTGCGATTAGATTTGTGATTTATTTTTTTTTAACTATGAATTTTTATGCAGAATAAAACAGAATATATGGTGGTTGTTTGTGGAGAAATTGTGATACTTAAAAAAAAACTGTAGCCTTTGAGATTTGCTAATTGCGTCCAACTTCATACAAGTTGCGATTTCTATTCAATAGTGATTAATTGTTCGGCTCTAATCGATAACTCAGTTTGCTCATATTCTTCACAGTGATCATCCTCTGTGTTGTGGAGGCCATTTTGCTCCTCACCCTGATCTTTCTGAGGAAGAGAATCCTCATCGCCATCGCTCTCATCCAGGAGTCCAGCAAGTATGGCCTCCAGTGTCCAAACATTTAGCAACATTCAACAAACCACATTTCACTTCTACTAGCTATTGTATTTGGCAAAACTGCTTTACCCTGCAGTGTGCCAGCTGATAGAGTTCTTACACCTTCTGCTGGTCTAAAAAAAGACAGAGGGACTTTCACATGTTTACAAAACACATGATTTAAAATTGACAAACTGCAAAACAAAATGTCTTTTATTTAAAAATGCAGGTCCTTTATGGATCATTTGTTTAGTGCATTTGTTGCTCCACATATGGTGCTTTAAAATGTCCAGGAAAAAGCTCACCAATTTGACTATTCATTCAGTTATTTATTTATTTACTTAGTCATTCATTCAGTCCCATTACAAGGACTGATAGTATTATTAATTATTATTTGGAAGATAAAGAGAAAACACATTTACGTGGTTTCAGACACTTAAGCACAATTGAATATATTGAACACATTCATATGTTTTCCTCCACAGAGCGGTAGGTCACATGATGTCCACTCTGGTCTACCCTCTGGTCACCTTCGTCATGTTACTGATCTGTGTGGCCTACTGGGGAGCCACTGCTCTGTATCCTTTATCACATTTACACTGGGAACAAAAGATGATGATGTGATTGTGATTTTTAGCTACTTGACTCTGCCTGCCTTTGAACAACAGTCAAACAGTCATTTGTCACACTGATTATGTTGGACTGACAAAAGTGTATTTCCTGAGTGAGTGCCCACAGATATTTAGCCACTTCAGGAGCTCCTATTTACAAAGTGGTGGCAATGAACTCGACAATACAGGGATGCGAGAAGTTCAACGCCTCTGAGACATGTGAACCTCAGGTAAATCTTTGAGAGTGTGGCTTTAAAATGTGCTTTAACCTTAGAACTGAAAGACAAATGGACACATTTCAGATGAATAATAATACACTGGATTTATATAGCACCTTTCAAGATACACACTCAGTCCACACATGGAAATTTACTTTTGTAGCAACAGCTACACAGACCGAAGACAGGCTGCCAGTCTGCACCATCTGACCATTACCAACACTTACACACACACCACATTCATATATAGACAACTTGCCTAAGGACACAACAACAGTTTACACTAGAGCCACTGTTGCCCCACTGTGGCACCTGGTATTCCCTATGGTCTCCCATTCAATTACTCACCAGGGCCTTGCTTGGCTTCCCAGATCTGATGTGATCCAGCTTTGCCAAGCCGGTGTGGGCACACAAACTGGACTAAAAGAAAGAGTAGTCCTCTCAAAATCACTCATGGTCACCACAGTTTGAGAAACACTTGCTTAATCATTGACACTGCTGTTTTCTTATCTTCCCCCAGAACTTCAATTCATCAAATTATCCAGAATGCCCCTCTGTCAGCTGCATGTTCATGAAGTACAACGACGAAGGCTTGTTTCAGCAGAACATGTTTAACCTGCAGATCTATAATGCTGTGGCCTTCCTGTGGTGTGTGAACTTTGTGATCGCTCTGGGACAGTGCACTCTGGCCGGGGCGTTTGCGTCGTACTACTGGGCCTTCAACAAACCCTCAGATATCCCCATGTTCCCCCTGTGTGGCTCCTTCTTGCGGGTACTCAGGTCAGAGAATAGAGTCAGTGAATACATCTTGGTTTTGTATTCATGTGTTTCTCTTAGGGTTGCACTGTATCAAATCAAAATCACAATTTGACTTGGCACACTTGTCAAATCACAACAACTGTTTAAAAGAATTAATGTTCCTGTTTTTTTTTCCCCTCTCAAACACTAGCCACAACATCATATGTCATGAATCAAATGTCATTGTTAAATCCCACCCGCTTTGTTGTAGGCTGGCAAACTGTTTATAGAGATGCAATAACATAACTAATATAAAAAGTATACAAATATACCTGTCACATAGTTTGAATGAAGCTCAACATAATGACTATTTTTGTAAAAATGGTTAAATTGTGAATGAGAAGTCTTCATCTGAACATAACCAGTCAGGTCAACAGATACATACACATCTTTTATTTTGTATTTATTTATTTAAATTTTAAATACAATATTGCATCAAAATATTGTTTCAGATATCATGTGGGCTCACTGGCGTTTGGAGCCCTGATTCTTACTCTGGTGCAAATAGTGAGAGTCATCCTGGAATACATCGACCACAAGACCAGATGTGAGCAGGACATGATACACATTACATCCTATTTATATTATCTGCATATTTCAGTTGTTTTCTCATAGTTTTTTTATTTTACTTTTGTAGCGGCCCAAAACCCGTGTGCGCGGTTCATCCTGTGCTGTCTGAAGTGCTGCTTCTGGTGCCTCGAGAAGTTCATCAAGTTTCTCAACAGAAACGCCTACATCATGGTGAACACTACATCACACATCACTTACATCTATAAAACCTATAACACATCAGACCCTATTGTCTTTATAGATAAACCGTACAGGCTTTAGTGGGACTGTTGTAAGTCTGTTTCAAGTATTATATTTTTTAATGGGCAAAAGACTTACACACATGAATAAATGCTCCGATGCTGGTATTGTGTTCACTTTGTTTTCAGGAATCAGAATTTAAAATCCCTGAGTACTGCCTCTCTTTTCTGGTAGCTTATAAATCAAATTGGTACAGAAATAGACAGATAATGACATGTCTTTCTATTCCATATTAAGTAAGTTTAGAGTTACTTATTTTTTTTTAATTAAGTCTTGTTTGATGTCTTGACAGATTGCCATTTATGGTAAAAACTTCTGTGTCTCGGCCAAAAATGCTTTCATGCTGCTCATGAGAAACATCATAAGGTCAGTGCTGTGTCTGAAGTCATGCATGACAAACTTAAACATTTCAGAAAAGTTACACTCTGAGTATGTGTGAAGATCAACACCCCTGTCATGCCCTCTAGTGTTCAGTCTTCAGATAGCAGGCCTTACCAGTGTCTGTTTTCAGGGTGGTGGTGCTGGATAAAGTCACAGATTTGCTGCTGTTCTTTGGGAAGCTTATGGTCGTCGGAGGCGTAGGTGAGAGTCAATATAAGTCTATGTTTTATGCACAGTTCAGAGTATGTTTTAATCCCCGACACAGTTTCTAAAGCCTTATAACTTTTTTTTTTCTTTTAGGCGTGTTGTCGTTCTTTTTCTTCTCGGGACGAATCCTTTTACCAGGCTCCAACTTCCGCTCTGAAAACCTCAACTATTACTGGATGCCCATCATTGTGAGTTTTGAGTCATTTTAGTACCTGGTGCTTAAATTTCCTAAGATATTTCATGTTTTACAGTTGCCCCTTACAACTTACTAAAACACACACCCTTTACCCATAATGCATTGCCTCTACAGCTTTCTGTGAAGTCAGTTAATTTCATTTGATTGTCCCAACCATAAAATTATTTTTGGGAACTCCCGGGTGAAGAAACAATGGTATAACTTAAGATGACTAAGATAACAGAGCCCTTATTTGTCCTGTAATGTGGAAATACCAGAGTGGTAACACAGAGTACAAGAAATAAACATAAATAACAAAAAAAAAATTAAAAATAGGCTGTGAAAGCATTGTAAAACTAGAACTAACTAAAGTAAAAGTACAATCAGTGCAATAACTACACACACACAGTCAGATTGTTCTTGAATGCTAGTTGCATTTAACCTTGAGGGCTACACACATCAGTCTGACCAGAGGCAGGCTAAGTTGCATTGCTAATTGTGGTAATTTTATGTTATTTTTTTTAACCCTTTTTTCAGACGGTGGCGTTTGGGAGTTACCTCATCGCTCACGGTTTCTTCAGTGTCTATAACATGTGTGTCGACACACTCTTCCTCTGCTTCTGTGAGTCTCTCACTAAAAACATGGTACCTTTGTCTATCTATGAGCAGTGCAAACCACATACATACTGGCATTAAAATACAAATAACACATTTTAAGAACTTCATATTTTTGATTATAAAAATATATCAGAACATTTATTTGAAGTAAGGAATTTATTTGAATCTAACATCCTCTATGGAAATGTAATTGCTTCACCTGAATGTTCCACAATATGACTGAACGTGTCTATTTTGCATTTATTCAGTTACAGCTATTCTTTCAAAAACATGCATTATTATTGTGAGCCACTCTACACATCTGATCTGTAACTTATTTTTTCTGTAATATTTTTTTGTTTCAGTGGAGGACCTGGAGAGGAACGATGGCTCCACACAGAAGCCGTACTTCATGTCCAAAAACCTGATGAAAATCCTCAACAAGAAAAACAAGTGAAGATGAAAAACTTCGTAAACAAGTGTCAAATGATTTCAGATTCAGGCTCATTTTTATCTTTTAAAATAGGTTTACTGAATACCATTTGCTGATTTTGCACTTTTCAGTTATGTTTTTGTACTCTATTTTAAGACTGATTCTAAACATATATGTGAAAATGTTAAGTGCCTCAGGTTAATAAGAAACTGTACAGAATGGCATAAATACTGCCATATTTTTGCTGTTGAAGGATTGATGAAACTAATCTGTCTGTTGTTAATAGTCAGATGCAAAATTTAGATTCATAAAACTCATATTAAATGTTTTTATAATATTTTAAATAACTTTAATGTAATAAACTTGTAAATATGTTACCATAGTATCAGTTGTGATTATTGGTCTTCTTTCAGCTAACTTCAAGTGCACTTTGACTACAAGGCCTGTCAATATTATACATTTTGAAATGCGATGCTTTGATGTCATCCCTTATTTAGAGAATGTCCCACTCATTAATGTCACAAGAATTGTATAAAAAAAAAAAAAAAAATGCTGATTTACATATTGAAAACATACTGTATTTTGTTTTCTATGTAATACAATTGATCAAAAGTGAAAATCATTTGGTGTTATTGGTTATAATCTTAACTTGTTCCTCTTTCTACAAATCAAGGCGATCACCCTATTGCAATCTGGACTTTTTCCACATGAGGACAGTGTTGAGTTGATTTACGACAGGACATGTGAAACTTTAATTCAGCCTTTAATTTCCTTTGATTCAGTTTGGTTTTTGAACGATGCTTTCACAATGTAGTTTAGTGACTTAATACAAAGTGTGAGAGAAATTACCCAAGAACCATCTGTCCATTCACTGAACTGAAGACTTAAAAGCTTGACAGACCAAAAATAATTAGCATTTTGTATCATTTTAACAAGCATTTTTAACAAGCATGTTTAAATCCACTTGTTTAATGGGGTAATTCATAGCTATACAGGCTTTAGTGCTTGGAGTTAGTGTCATTGTCAAATAACAAGCAAAAGCATGTGCTACTGTAAAATTATGACACTAAAAAGACCCCCCAAATGTCTCAAATGCCTTTTCTTATGGAGGACCAAACTTTGCTTGAATAAAATTGAATCTAGTTTACAGTTTAATTTTCAACATAAATAATTCACATATAGCATTTTTGAGGTTGAGGAAACTAATCATCTTCTAGAATAAGTTAAAAAAGTAGAGGATAGAATGGTGGAAAAAATATTAAAATTAACATGTGAATTATGTTGCAGAATTTAAGATTTATTCAGAGTAATTAGCTAAATGGACCATGAACTACACTTTATTATCAATACTTCTAAAACAGGAGCATGTCTCTGCTTACTACACGGAAATAAAGTGTGTATCATTAAGGAGAACTGCTATTGATACTTTGCAGCAGATGTCACCCACATGGGGGGGCGAAGCTAACTGTCTGAAGCTCTATTACATATATTAGACTTTAATTTGAGATTTGTTTTAACACTATCTGACCATAAAGAGCTGACTAAATAGGAATAATAATTGATTTGCCCTGTTAGTCACTCAAACAGAACCATAAATGCGAGTAGTATTCACAGGCTGCTGAAAATGTGTTATTTAAATCCATATTGTAGTTTTTCTTGAGTTTTCAGACAATCTAAATACTTCATCACACATCTTCACACATTAGACTGTTAATGAGCTAATGTGTGCATTGTGTCTCCATGGTAACAGCGAAACCCGATTTTAGTCCTCCATAAGATTTTTGGCATTCTCAAACCAGATTTGTTCATACACTTGGTCTTGGTCTACCTCCACCTACAGCTCCTCTTCACTTTAACACTTACATCAAACCTCATTTTTACAATATTTATATGTACAAATATATAGTGTTTTCACACTCACCCAAACATACAGATGCATACAAAAGTGTACGGTGACAGAGGTGGGACAAAATTCATCAAATCCTCACAATTTTGACTTTGAAACGCTACCAAATAAGTTGATGGTTTAAATAAAGGCTGGTTCCACAAAGATAAGTTATATAGAACAGTGGAAAGGGTTAAGAGATCACATAGCAATACAAAAATATTACACAAATGAACAGATAATTGAAATATTAAGTAGTATTGCTAGTACTAAGGCATTTAAGGATTCATATCCATTTTGATTGATTGATTCATTGATTTGACTGAAGTATCTTGGTGATATAAATTGGAACGAGACGAGATTGAAAACAACATAACATGGATCAGGAAATAGTATAATATAGGCCCTTTAAAAGACAATTTAATTTAAGTTGTTAATTAGGTCTATGTGCAAGAGTTTTGGTTGTATATTATCACTTTAGTTAAGTTTTTTATTCAGACTTTAACTATAATGTGTTCTCATTAAATATGTATTTGTAATATTTATAAGAAAGAAAAGATTTTGAAAAAGTTAGTATTTTGTTCTTTTGATAAAAATTAAATACGAGTGAAAAAAACAACATTGTGTCGTACCAATATCTTTGTGAAACCTGCCTCTTAAAACTGTTTTGTACCGATCTTTCCTTCAAACCTGCTTCACCAATAGGCTGCGTTCAATGTTCAATCATCACAATATTCTATAGGTCAGTAATAGGCTATTTAATACAGATGGGGGCAGCAAAAATTTACATTGTTAAAATACAGTTTTGTTGTTATATGGTGAATTCTAGGGTCAGTCACAGAAATTATACAAGTCAACATTTGTCCATTTACCTTTTGAATATTTCATGGCAAAAGAGGGCAATAAATAGGAAAACTAGTTTAACCAAAAAACAGATTGCTATACATGCATTTTAACATTGAAATCCAAATATAGTACTGACCTGCCTCTCAATTCAATTTTAGTTTTCAAAGTGTGTTGTCTCATGACTGCAGCCTATTGGACTTCCTCATTTGACTGTCCCTCTCTTCTCATTCACATGGGACATTAGTTTAGTGTTGTTTTCACAGTGCAATGGCAGTTTAAGTTAAGACAAAATGTAGCTCAAAAAATTCAACCCTGCTACATTTCTTTCTGTCCATTTGCTTTGACAATGATGAATGCTGCTACTCTTTGGCCTTGTGGTTTACAATAAAATGGTCTCCCAATGCCCACGGCCCTATTATGAACCATACTGGGAACAATCGTGAGTCTTTTTGGCCATTTTAACTGCCGTAGTTCTTGTTGTGTTGCTGTAGATCCAGATGTTGTAGAGGTCACACACTCAGGAGCCAGAAGAAAAAGAAAATGGCGACAAACAGGAAGAGGGAGTCCTGCCAGTTGTTGTTGTTAGGGTTACCGTTGTTATGGTTTCCGTTGGCCTGGTGCTCACCCGCATACTGGTCTGAGGAAAAGAGATAATGAGGGATTTATGTTAAAACAAAAAAAAATATATATATATATATGTGTGTTTTTGTTTTTCAAATGTGCATGCGGGCTCTTCCAGCTCCTACTGACCCTGGCTCCCATTGACTTACACTTGTTATTTTAGTCTTAAAATGGTCGTATTAACCTGCTCTACATGATCCTGGTGTTTTTATTTTGCTATTTCGTCTATTAAAAAATTCCTATTCCAAAAAAAAAATCTGCCTCCAAATTCACTCCTGTAATCATTTGCATCCTGAGCTTCATTCGAGCAGAGCCGAACAGTATGGGTGAAGTCACACCTGCTTAATCCAAAAGTCTGCAAAAAGTCAGATTCAAGCAGCATTTCCTTCATTCTTCATGCTAACAAAGCAGTTTAATCCCAGAATTCACTTGATGAGTGGCCCATGTTTCCCGTGTGCTCATAATCACTGGTCCAAAGGCACCTGCAGACACTCCTCACGAGTCACTCCCTCTTTGAGTGCGGCCTGTGCGTCAGTGACCCTGGGCTCAGGTTCATGCCAGTGTGTGCAGAGAGCAGTGGGAGTTACTAGCTACTGGCGAAAGAGTAATGCGCGGTCGCACAGCTAACCCTTCTGGATTAGAAAAATAAGCAGCAGTCCCCAATTTATCTTTTGATAAAGACATTTACTTTTGGAACTCAAATGTTTTCTAAATTTCCAAAACTTTTCCCAAAACAGATGAATTCCATACCTTTCCAGGGCCTGGAAATGTAAATTAAATTTTCCAGGCTTTTTATGATGAACCCTGGAATTTGCTGCCTTTTAGTTTTCATAGCAACACAGTAATGAGTGTATGCACAGAGTCTAGTAACATCATAAAAGCATCATTACATACTTTCCACATTAGATAATTGATATTTTGTAGTTGATGTCATCAACACTCCCTCGGGGTGTGAAGCTAGCTGTAGCCATGGCTCGGTCTCTAATTTGAGTTTTATTTTAACACAATCTTACCACAAAGAATTGACTTAGATGGAACTACATCAGGTGAGCTGATTATTATTACTGTGCTCTTAAACAAGTCGCAATAACAGTCACAAGCTTGATGTTGTTTAAATCCATTTTGTATTTTTTTCTAGGAAGTATAAACTTTTTTGACAGTTTGCTATTGTGTGCATTGTGTCATCATGGTAACTGCATTCTACCATAGAGATAAATGTAGAATATCCCCAGCACGATGTCACTTTAAAGTATCAATATGCTGTATATTTTACCTGCTCTGTGAAAGGGGTCGTTGGCGTTGAAAACTGTTGTGAAGAAACCAAAGGGAAACGCTCCAATACCAAAGGACATGTGGAACCCTGTGTCGCCCAAACCCTGAAACATCTAAACACAAAAACACAATAAATATAATAAACAAACAAGAGAGGGGCCAGAGGAGAGATGCATGATGGGAAATAAGGACTGACCCCACCCCCTCCTCTGCTCTCTGGTTCTGTCCTCTGTCCTTGAGGCCGGGGAGGCGTTTTCAACCTGAAAAAAACAAACAACAGATTAAACTAATTCTAGATGTTTTCCATTTGTATCGCAAAAGGGACACACTAAACTTGCATATTTAGGCAAATTCACTCCAACAGGATTTTATGTTGTGTGTTTTTTGTTTCTGTTTGTTTTTTGGCACATTGCTGAGCCCTAGATGAGGCCCACTTCCTCACCTTATGATAACACCTTCAGCACATTCAGTTTTAGGCTGAATGCTTTGAAAAATTAACCAATTGTAATTTTTATGACAAACATTGAATTTAAAATTTGCAATGTATGTTGTAATAGATGTTTAAAATGTGATCTCTGAACAAAAACCATGTCCAGGAGTTTGTTGAGGCCTAAACTACAGTGTTGGCCTACATAATAAGACAGGACTTAAATGTGCCATTTTTGTGATTTGACAGTTGCAGACATTTAAATTGTGTTTTGAATTTGCTTGCAATATACCCATAGACTGTATATGAAAGTGGGCATAGCTAACGCCCTAGCTGCCGCGTTCCAAATGGGAAGTGAGTATGAGCTCAGTGGTTTCTTTGACCTCTGGTTGCAACTGACTTCTACTGAAAAACCGTCACCCCTCATTCCAACTGCTGCTGCTGAGCTCGTCATTCTAATCTTAAAATGATCTACATGATCCTTTTATTTAACTATTTTCTCCCTAAATCAAGATATGAACATAATATCATATCAACAAATAATAACATATCAATCTGTCTGTCAATCTGCCATTTTGTGTTCGTGTGTGTCTAGTTCTGTAGTTTAATTCTGTTTTGTGCCTTCTTTTATTTGGTCACTCGATTCTGTTGTACTTGTTGTATGTTAATTCTGTTATTTTGTTTCTTAGTTTAGGTTATTTAGTTTTCTTTGTATATTTTTAGTTTGCTTTGTTAATTTACTTATGGCATCCCTGTTAATTAAACATTATTTAATTTATTTCATTTAACATCTTGTTTTTTTTGTTACTTCCCTCACCTCAGTGAGCTGGGTCATAACAGGGTCTGTTTAATCTTGGCACCTAAAGGTTTCTGTACCTCACAGCCTTAACTAGGTTGCATGCTCCAGTTAAACCACTCAAGGAGTGTACAGCTGTGTCTCACTTCCGTGCATGCACTACTGACTGCATACAGCAGGGGGCTTCTTTTTTTTATTTTATTTTATTTTTTTACAAAATGCCAGTCTATGGATATATGCAGCAGCCCTCCTTACTTGTGAGGGTTGAATACCTGGGGTCGTCCTGACTGGTGCTGCCTCGTCCGTACAGAGGGATCACTTTGTCTCTGCTGATGCCGGCTTTACACACAGGACACTGCTGTCTGCTCGGACGAGTCTCCAACCACTGAAAAAGTAAACATCATTAGGCCTGTCCCCATAAAAACTACAATATATCCACTTATCAGCCAATATATCAAATCTGGTACACAACTTTCTGAGGGTCATTATTTATTGTGGGTGCTTGCACTAGTGGGGAACTTTTTGTTATTAAGATAAGATTTGAGCTGTAGAGGTATAAAAAATTTTTACTTCTATAACTATACAAACTGACTACTACATTTTTTGAGGGATATTTTACTTCTATGGGGTATTAAGTGCTAACACATAATAAATTAAGATCACCATGTTACCTTATAACATAGAAACATAGAAAGCAAAAAAAAAAAGGTTTTGCATTATAGCCCTCTTTAACGATATTGTATTTCAGAAGAAAAATAAACCTGTTTTGATATAATTCTATAGCTGAAAAAGTGTCTGTGGTTTAAAATATCAAATATTATTCTGAACTGGCTCGCAGAGTGGGAACTAAGATGCACTCATCATTAGACCTAAAACAGTGTAACCTCAGATTCACAGGAAGTAAGTGGATGTCAGAGGAAGTGTGTACTCAGACCATATTTAGCAAACAGTGTGTTGGCGTTGTAAAAACTGTCAGGGGTTACTTTTAATGGCTCATATTAAACCTTTTTCAGATCTGTTATAATGTTGTTTCCTAGTCAAAAACCCAAAGTTGTGTTTTGTTTCATTCACACATGTTTAATACATAATTCCTGCACATTTAGCATGACTTCTTCTCTCAAACAGAAAACACTTGTGATGTCACATGGTGAAACAGGATGTGCTCCACTTAATATGCCTTCACTAGAATCATTTTGATAATTTCAGCCCTGGAACAGAATTGAAGAAGCTGCTTGGATGAGCAGCGAAACCTCTTGTCCAGTTGACAGAATTAAATTTTTCTTTTGCAATATAGGATTACTCAAACATGTGTGAATGAAACAAAATACAGGTATGTTTTTAAGAAGGTGACAACATTCTAACATGGCTAAAATTTAAAATTTTGCATAATATAGGACCTTCCAAGTTTTGATTTTTCAACTGTCTGTGTTGTTCACAGTCTAAATTTACTGTACCGCTCAAATGACCCTGATAAACTGGTTTATTTTTTATGCTCAGGGCAAAAGGTGTACTAGTGTCATTTTGACGATAAACAACTACACAATGTGATTTAAGATTAACTTTGAACCGAGAATTCAATTTTTGGTGATGAAGAGGAGGAAAAGGAGGAAGGGGGAGAGAAGGATGAGGGGGAGGAGGAGGGAGAGGAGAAGGGAGAGGAGGAAGAAGGAGGATAGTGGAGTAAATAAGAAGCATTAGCTGCATTAGAGTTTAATCTGCTCTGAGTACATTACATCACACTCTTCTATGAGACGTTTAAGAGCGCTGTTTATATGAGGGGCCTCCAGGAAGCTGTGCGCAATACAATTTCTCTTGAGAGGGGTTCTCCACTTGCTTGTCTATGCAGACTTTATGGCTTTGCTTGGAATGTTCCAAAGTATGGCATCTGCAAAAATCACCAGCTTTTAACCATGTTATAGTTGTTTTCCCTCACTATTCACTCACCTAAAGTTGTATTTGGAGTTGTACATGTTTGAGCAATATATAATCGCTTTCCAAGACACCATTTAGCCCATCAACCCCCCATTTTCACCGCCACTGGTATACGCCCACTGCTCTCCACTAGCAGTTGTCTTCAGTTTTCTTAATTTGTGATAATGGTAGGAGCATTGCGTGGTATTGCGTGGTATCATGTGGTACAAATGAAAAAATTAAAATTAAAATCTGGGGCCAACAACTTCACAGCTCTTTGTTGTGATGACGTTTATGCCAAATAAGTTTAATGTGTTATTGTGGAACATTCCAGGTAAAGCAATAACATACTAAGGGGCACAGGTTCTCAAATTACTCACATTTACAGTAAATAAATAATTTGTAATACAGATACAGACCTGATGAAGGCAGGGCCAGCTGTGGAGACACAAACAGAAAGAAAGAAAGAAAGTTAATTACATGTTAATATCAGAGAGGAGCAGTGAATATATGAGCAAGCTTTAACAATTAAGGAAAGACTAACATGAACAGATCAACTAATACAAGAATCCAATACAGGTAATCAAAATCAAAAGTTTGGACACCCTCTCAATCACTGTGTATTTTTTTTTCTTACCTTTACTACTTTCTAAATTTTATATGCATATGGAAGGCATCAAACATACAAAATGATGTAGTAAAAAACTTAAAACAAAATATGTTTTAAAATGTTATGTTCAAACCCTTAAAGTAGCCACCCATTATTTTTTTGACAGAGCTGCAAACCTTTGTCCCTGAAATCACAGCTGTGCCTGGTCAGGCCCTGGAAATACCAAAGGTGGTGAAATTTCACAGTTCAGATGGAACATCATTATAACATGGTAGAAAGCTCATAAAAAAGACATTTTACATAATACCCACAGACCATATCGCTGAGCTCTATTAAAGTGGATCTACATATCTGCTTGAACCCTGCAGTAAAGATATCAAATGTCCATTAAGATGAATGAAATGAGCTCACACGAGCTTGTCTATCCATGAATTACTGTTTAACTGTTAACCTCATAACATCCACAGTAACTTTCAATACAACACACTTACAGAGTACAGTCTTGCTCATATGTCACTGTGTTTAAGACAAAAAATCTGAGACAAATCTGAGACAAAATCTGCTAGTATTCTCATAACAGAGAACTACGAGAGAAGAGTACACAAAAGATCATAAATCACAACTAAATAATTTGAGAACAGCAATGGCATTTTCAAGTCACCTGAGGACCAAAAAAATAAGTCTAAGGGCTCCATTTGGCCCCTGAGCAATAGTTTGGGCACCCATGTTTTATGACCATAGACTGTATAAAAGAAGTGGACTAAGCGAGTGTGATGTCACCCATAGCGTTCAACTCCACTTGAATGAAGCTCCTGATGCTAATGGTTACAGGAGTGAATTTGGAGCCAGGCTCCATATTTGGAAATCTGACCACGAATATCATAGAAACCACAAGAACTAATCATGATTGAGGTCATTAAATGTGCCCGCCCTTCTCACCGAAAGGCGGGAAGGGGGCTTACTTAGCAATGAAATGCATTAGCTGTCAATCAAACCTGTTGCTAAGGCCAGCAGGAGCAAGCTTGGGGAATGAAGGCTTCTGATTGGTCTGTTATTTATGTTCAAATTTTGATTTAGGGACAAAATAGCAAAATGAAAAATTCAGGATCATTTAGAGTGGGTTACTACGAACAGTTTAAGACCAAAATGACGAGGCTCACTGCAGCAGAGGGATCACAAGATCCCTACATAAGTCAACTGGAGCCAGGGTCAGAAGGAGCCAGAAGAGCCAGAAGAGCCTCCTGGTGCTCTTCCTATTTGTAACAATAATTACTATACTGATTTATCATTCAATAAATGTTAGATAGCAGGTGTCGATATTTATTGTTTGTACATTTTCGTTGCACTACTTGGAGATTTTGGGGTACATTATACTATAAGAAAGAATCTGAGCCATAGAAGATGAGAAGATGAATAAATAATTTCTATGATTCATTACAGATGCAAAAAAGGACAAAAGTTTTGGATTCTGATATTGACTTATTGCAGCTCATGATATTTTTTTTTAAATAAATAACCTCTTGGGTTCTTGTGTCAGTGGCGTAAATGAGTTTCAATATAATCGTTTATCATGACAAGACTAGTAAAGAGCGAGGACCATTCCTGGATGAATGAGGGATTACATAGAGTTTATAAACTGAACTAGTTTATATGCATGACAATAAAAACCTCACTGATAGCCCAATACAATGAAATACAGGCCAATATAACACATGCACTTAACATTGAATTGCAGCCATTTTTAAAGCTGTAAGATTAATCATGATCAAGTTGAAATCACAGTCTGAATGGACGCAATTAGCAAATCACAAATACCATAATTTCTTTCAAATAACAAAGTCTCCTGTCTTATTCAGCATAAGAACAGCTAAGCCTGTGGTTTCAATCTGTACAAACATGCTCTGAAATGTGATTATTGTATTTGTTTGTCAGTTCATATTTCTGTCTTTTTGTCTATTCTTCTGGACACAAATGTGAACTCTGAGCAGAATCCTATTATTAAAACATAAATCGCAAATCAAATCACAATCATCTATCTATCTATCTATCTATCTGTCTATGATACTTTTGCAGTGACATCACGCTGGGGGTATTTTACATGTATGTGTATGGCTGAATATTTAGAAGTTACCATGGTGACAAAATGCACACATTAGCAAACACAGCCAAAAAAATGTTTAAGTATGAAAATTCAAGAAAAAACAAAACAAAATGGATTTAAACGACACACTGTGATCAATACAAGTGTTTATGGTCCTGTTTAAGTTTCTAACAAAAAGCTCAGAGGGACTAGCTGAACTGGCTGATGCTAGCTAACCTGTGACTTTAATGTCTGACAGACCATCTGATCAAAAACCAAATCAGCTCACCCGTTTTAGTTCCAGCTAAGTCCATTCTTTCTGGTCAGATTGCTTAATTTGTCAAAAGTTAAAGTATAATTTGAGTAACAGAGCTTCAGACAGAGCAAAGCTTACAGTTAGCATCCCACCCCCAGGGACTGTTGATGAGATCAGCTCCAAATCATCAACTGTTTATCTGATACAGTACATTTCTTGTTACAACTAGTAGCTAATACTTTTTGGTTCATGTGTAGCATGTAGTTGAAGCAATCCCTCTTTATGTAATCCTGATTTAGGTTTGGTGTAAAATCAGGTAATGAGAGGGGAATGTTGCAGCAGACGACACAGAAGTCCCTCGTTGCTTGTTTCATCATTTCTTTAACGGAGGAGAGAGAGCAATGGAGCAAGGACATTACATCAGAATGCACACAAGAGGACATACTGGACGCTATTACTACTACTACTACTACTACTACTGGTACTACTACTACTACTACTACTACTACTACTACTACTACTACTACTGGTACTACTACTACTACTACTACTACTACTACTACTACTACTACTACTACTACTACTACTACTACTACTACTACTACTACTACTACTACTACTACTACTACTACTACTACTACTGGTACTACTACTACTACTACTGGTACTACTACTACTACTACTACTACTACTGGTACTACTACTACTACTACTACTACTACTGGTACTACTACTACTACTACTACTGGTACTACTACTACTACTACTGGTACTACTACTGGTACTACTACTACTACTGGTACTACTACTACTGGTACTACTACTACTACTGGTACTACTACTACTACTACTACTACTACTACTACTACTACTGTACTACTACTACTACTACTACTACTGGGTACTACTACTACTACTACTAGGTACTACTACTACTAGTACTACTACTACTACTACTACTACTACTGTACTACTACTACTACTACTACTACTACTACTACTACTGGTACTACTACTACTACTACTACTACTACTGTACTACTACTACTGGTACTACTACTGACTACTACTACTACTAGTACTACTACTTGCTGACATATGGCTTCTGCTACACAATCACTGCTCATTACAGTTAATATAATTATAATATAGTCCACAGATCAGCTCCAAGAACAAAGCCAGTGCTCTCTCACTCACTCACTGTAGTTTCAGCTGCATTGGAATCTTTTTAGTCCTAATCAGACACACTATACACACTATATGTATGTACACACATATATACATACACACATACATACACACACCCACACACAGACACAGACACACACATGTACGTACATACAAATTACAACAACTGCAAGTTTAATTAACAAGGAGTGTTTAGGTCTGATCAAGGTCCAGAAGAGCAATTCCACAAGCCTCACCATCGACTGAAGGATATGAAAGGAAAGTAGATTTAAAATTCTGAAGACAAAGTATTGTTACTAAAATGAGATACTGCCTCTAGCTGCTTTACTAAATGTGAATACATTCAAGGTATAAAACTCAAAGCATTTATTTTTTTCTTTGTTGTATGTTTCTGATCATTTCAATAGCTGATCAAATGAATATAACAGTCTTTATAAATGGGTCTAAATACATTATGTGTACATATATGGAAGACACTGTGGCATTGCAGACAACAGACACAAGGAGAATCACATGAGATTTTAAATCTTATCATCCTCCAAGCGCAAAGACTGCAGATAAGAGACCGCACACCACAAGCTGAAAGTTGTGAGTCAACAAGCTCCTCTCGTCAGCTGTTTCCCTCTAACAGTAAAAACTCATTTTGAGACTCTTAAATGTTCGAGTGATCAGAGCACTGTGCTTTTAGTTTAAATGCACATCAAATCTGTGTTATTATTTGTGAAATGTGGTGCAATAGTTTAGATAGATATATGCTTTTAATGCACAGAAGTATGTCAATACATTACACAGAATGCAGAGTCGTGTTTACTGCAGCAGCAGCTTCACCCCAATCCTTGCTACAGGATTCATGTAAACAGACTCTTGCCTTTTTAAAAAAGGCTTTAAACTGCATTACTAGCGCTGTTTTGTGGACTGGATGTCATTATGTGCGGAGGACAAATTCTTCAGGGTAATATGAATGAGATGATACAGTCTCAAATCTCAGACTAAGATTCAAAGTCGGGGGGAAGAAGCAAATCAGGTTCTAAATCTGGCAACTTGTCCTGTAGTGTGAGGCAGGCATTACTTATTATGACTCCCTTTCACTATCACAAAAGTAAAAATTTGACATTTATTTAAAAAAATGTCACAGTGTCAATGTGACAGGACCATGTGTTACTTGGAACTTAGTTACCACACATTGCATCAGCCTCATACACCACCAACTTGTTGCCGTTCCAGACAATGACAGTTGTACGTGGAAAAATTAAGTCATTCTTACAAAGTATGAATATTAACTAATGCTCCAATAGACATTACTGCATTTGATGCAAAAAAACAGCTTTAACACAACACATACTGTATGCATCAGAATCATAAGCACCTTAAAGCTTTCAACTGTTCAACTCAAACTAAAATTCCAAATTCAAGGGCAGCAGGAAGACCTGCCAAAATTTCTATTACAGGTCAATCTGACCCATGTTTAAGGAAAAGCATGACTCTTTTAGACGATAAATATGAGTTAATCTGTAATTGTGAGCCAACATTTGAAAGCACTGGATTTTTGGCAAGTCAATGTATCTTTTTAGGCTTCTAAAACTTTTAAAAGCCACATGAGCAAACTGGAATCAAAAGTATAATTAGTTAATAATTACTTATGTATATATGCACCAAAGCACTTGCTATAAGAATAGAGGACAAAAGTTCAACAACATTAATGTTTACTTCATGCAGAGATAAGATTTCATTACACTTAAGCAACAGCTACACTACACAACTACACTTCCTACGTAACTAAAAAGAAAGACTGGCACTTGGCTTTAAAAATAGCAAAAATATTTCAGAAACCACCAGGAATAACTGTGAATTATCGTTAAATCGTCTAATATGCGCTATTTTAATTGGGATCAACCAGCCCATGTTGGAGTCACATTATTAATCACATGTTACTTCTTTGGCACTATCTTTCGGGCCAGCTCCTGTTTTCATGGTGAAGTCTACACAGTTATGTTCTTCTGTCACTATCGCCTTAAGTCTGTTCTATTTTTCGTGTTTTTGGGGCACAACAGGTTAAGTTAAACCGGTCAGACTTGGTGCTGTAAGGAGAATAGTTTACAACGAAGAACCACTGAGATGTAGTAACTTACTTTGCAGAAATGGCTGGGTCAAATTCCTTCACAACGTGTACTGTTTTATCACTGGATCAACAAACTCCTCACCTGTCAGCCAAAGTATTTGTTGTCAGCAAAGCATGTTTATCAAGATTCAAATGGGGCTGCACTACAGAGGCCTGTCAGATACGGATCAACTGGAACGTGGGTCTGGTTAGATTATAAACGAACACATAAACGACCATCTTCAAAACAAACCTAAGCTAATTTTCCATCATTGCTGTGCTTCGTACCAGAACAAGTGTCCACACAAACTGATGACCGCGTCTCGGGCCGTGTCCAGGCAAATGTTGCACTCGAAGGTGGCCCGATCCGTCTCAGCGCTGCCCCCGCCGCTGCTGCCTCCGGAGCCGCCGCGATCATTGTTGCTCTCCCCGGCCGGTACTCCTCCGACTCCGGCCGACATGTTTGTATGAAATTGGATCCGATTAAAAGTCCAAAAACGTACCAATAAACGGCCCCAGCAAGCTACTGCCAAGCCTCTGCTAACGGGAGGCAACTGTCAGCAGACTTTACCTGCACACACACTTCCGGTTCCGGAGATGCACGAAGACTTACGAAGATGGTCGAAGAGTGGAGCGAAAAAAACAACAAAACAAAACACACACACACACGTTTACAGATTGATTGATTGATTGATTGATAAGTAAATAAATTATATATTCTTATTAACATATCAACGTGTTTATTTTGTATTATTTGCTTCATATAAATACGCCAAACATTCCTGCAACACTGTTGTAACACTGAATTTAGACAAGATAAGTAGCTGCTATTTAAAGCTCAAAGAAAAGGCAGTACTATATATTATAATAAGACATATTTTTATAACCTGAAATTATACAGGTAAGCGTGCTTTTATTTTTGTTTAACGGAACGTTTCATTAGTTAGTCTTTTGTTCCTAGCCGGACTCATTTCAAGGGCGAACGACAAACGTGTTTACTTCACAAGAGCCCACGCTGAACACTTTTGCTTGATTTAATCCAATATCTTGACATTGCAACGTCTTGGCGATCTGATTGCATTGCACGAATGTTATGTCCATCTTGTTGTAACTCAGTTGTATTAGTTAGTTATTTTTTGTGAGTAACGCTGCATTTTAAGCAAACATGAAGATCAAGCGACAGAAACAGGCAAAGAAGAACATCAGCTTCTACAAATACAACTTCAGTTTTAGGGAACCTTTCCAAATCCTCGTTGATGGCACCTTTTGTCAGGCAGCTTTGAAAAACAAGATTCAAATCAAGGAGCAAATGCCTAAATACCTGATGGGAGAAGTGCAGCTGTGTACAACTAAGTAAGTACTAAACTGTAAACAATTGGTGAATAGATTTAATTTAAATTGTATGGTGATTGATTACTAATTTAGTTATTTAATTTGTCTGTTTGCTTTTAGTTGTGCCCTCAAAGAACTGGAAACTCTGGGGAAAGAGTTGTACGGCGCTAAAATCATCCTGCAGAGGTACCAGGTCAGAAAGTGTGCCCATTTCAAGGACCCTATACCGGCCTCAGAGTGTCTGCTGTCCATGCTGGGGAAGACCAACCCTCACCACTATTTTGTAGCCACACAGGTAATATTAGATGGTTATTTGACTATTAGGCTGAGAATTTTTACTCCAAACCAAATTAAGTTAAAGAAAGTTCATGTGCACAGTGTATTTTGATACTCTGTTGCTATTATTAATATGAAAATTATTTTTACTACAACTACCACAGCATCAGCTATTGTTACTTGTTGCAGTATAATGTGATGTCATGTAGTGGTAGTTTTCAAGTTTAGTTTTTAGAGCATGGTGGAGCACCACATGACATCACAAGGTGGAACAGCTTTCCATTTGAGAGAAGAACTAAATATAAAGGGTTTTTGTGTGTTAAATGTATGAATAAAACAAACCAAACTCCAAGTATCTAACATTATAACATACATCAGAAAATGGTGTAATATGGACCATTTAATAACTGTACAAAAATCTACATTTCAGTCATTAATTTTTGGTGCCCTCCATCTGTATTAAACATTATTGGCCTGTAGAATGTTGTGATGACATTTGAAACCCAGCTATATATTTCTGTTATGTATTTATTTTATTTTTATTATATATTTGTATTATTTACAGGATCATACACTGACCACGAGCCTAAAGGAGATCCCTGGTGTCCCACTGTTTTACATCATTCTTAACACCATCGTTTTGGACAAACCCAGTCAGGCCTCCCTCGACTACGTCCAAAAAGTCGCACTAGGAGAGCTGGTGAGTTCGGGTCAACAGGAGAGCATCCGCAGCCTGAAGGAGGAGCAGGGCTTGGGACAGAGAGACACAGAGAGGAGGCCAAGGAAGAGAAAACGCAAAGGCCCCAATCCTCTGAGCTGTCTCAAGAAGAAGAAGAAAACTGAACCCACACCACAGAAAAAGACAGAGGATGGACAGAAGAAGAAAAGAAGTCGGCATAAAAGACGAAAAAGTAGTGGGGTTGTATCCACTCCTGTAGTTCCTAGTCAATGAACAGTACAATAGAAAGACCTCAAATGAGAGGCATTCATTTCATTTTTCAAATATGTATATCTGTAAACTGAAGGTGTAACATCATATCTAAACAGAACCACTAATTCAAGGTGCACTATGTCACTTTTCTTGTTTAGGGTCCGCCACATACTTTCTTCCAACAGAGATGTTATTGCTTTGCCTAAAATGTTCCACAGTATGGCATTAAACTTCATGCTGTGAGCAAGGTTGCCTCTCCACAGGCCTGAACTGGTGGTGTGCCAGCATGTCTCAATGGAGAAAGGTTCATTTTTTAGTTTTATAAAAATCTGTGGATACAAAAAGGTGACTGACTCTACAATAGAAAAGTTACATAGTGCACCTGTCACGTCAGATTAGGTTTTATAATATTGTGAATGAATGAATGTATACATATTTTCATAGCATAAGGAACTACATGGACCATCATCCCTTCCTCTATTTTATTGCAGCACATGAAGAAATGTTTTGAGATATAACTGAATTTGACTTCTGGAATGAGTCTTTCTTCTATTCTAAGTTTAAACCATGACCATGGTGCCATTTCTTCTCTCAATATTTAGGTCATGTCTTCAGTCAGAGAAATTGATGAAGACTTATCACAAGTATGCAGTTGTATAATATTGTGAAAGAATAGCCCAACCATGAAAATAAACAAAAATTGACAGAAGTTTAAACATTGGGGTATTTTTTTATTGTGAAAACATCTTGATGAGTCCACAAAAAAGACTTATATTCCAACATTGGTAATGACCACTGCTTGCACCAAGGCTTGTGATATCTTCAGTACAAAAAATGAAAAGGCAGGTTTGCAGGCACATAATTTAAACACAGAAGAATACAATAAATTACAATAACAGTAAGATACACATTTTGGACAACATAACATAGACTATAAACGCATTTGAAAAGTAAAGTGCTATAAAGTTTTTCAACTGGAAAAATTGCCTAGGCCGAACATTAAAAGCAAGTGTATCTGGTATTTATTCAGGCAATTTAAAGGTATTTAAAGTTAATATTGGATATATGAATGTAATAATTTTCCTTGAATCTAAAGTAAAATAAGCTTTCTAATGCTATCCTGTAACTGATAATATGGTCGTAGTTTAATAAGTAAAAATACAAAGTCTAACCTCATTTGGTAAACACAAGATTTACTTTTAGTATTAAAGTGCAATATTTTTTTCTTTTGCAATAAAATATGACTATAATTATATTTTTGTGTAAATTATTTTCAGACAGAGCATGCAAGTATGGATGTGCATACTGATAACGGCTCTATACTGTAAACAGCAGATGCAAAGTTTCTACCACCACAGACTCTACCGCACAGCTAAACTACCCACAGGTTTGATGAGATATTCTTCTATTTTAACTGTTAAATGAACAGTTTTTTATATCATGCATGCTCCTGATGTATTTGTCATGTTAAAATACGGCTAATATGTTTTTCTGACGTGCACTAAAATAATGCTTCTAAAAATTATATATGTTATATAGAGAATCAATTACATTGACTGTGTGCCATCATGAGCAAGATTTTAAATGGATTTGCATTCCCACTACCCACTGTCTATTAAAATATCTTTTTAACAACAACAAATAGGAAAACATTCTGGCACTCCAAGATACGGCCCCATCTTAAGATTAGTATCATACTATGCAAACAATACCATTTTAATAGAATATAAAGTGCAGGGACTACTAACCACAATATGAACAGGGTCTGAAGTTGCCTTTACATGTCTCTATTATTTGTGTACTCTTGGTGTCTTATGATTGAGCTTTAAGTGAGGAAAAGGAGGGGAAATATCTGTAGCTGCCATTGTTTTTGCACCAAACTAGCATCAATGTAGGCACTAAATCACAGGAAAACTGCAGGAAAAGGGCCTTCAACTTAGAATAAATGTCCCAATAAAGCTTAAATCTGTTTTGAGAATTTCTGTAGTTATCATACTTTGGCTTTGGACATTGGTGGACAGTCTAAAATCAGAATTGCACACTATGATTGTAAAACCAACCAATAAGATTAAAGGTACAACAAACCTCCACATGCAAACAAATAATAGCACCATAAAGAAACAATAAACAGAAATGGCTACAGTGCGAAAGTGTTTCAAAAGTCAAGGAAATTGCGTGCATTAGCAGTTGTGATATCGCTATCACTGTCATTAATATTCTGACATTATTATGATTTCATTTACTACATATCTAAAAGTAAGCTTCTGGGTCTAAAATACATAGTTTTGTTGGAGCGACATGACAGATGAAACTACATGGACCATCATCCTTTGCTCCATTTTAGTGCAGCTAACATGAAGAAATATTTTAACAGATAATTTCAATAGCATTTTTTGATAATTTCAATAGAGCTTGTAAGTGCTTTTGTTAGGGAAGTGGCCTTTCTTATATTTAAAGTTTAAGCTTTGAACCTCTATCCACGATCACAATAAAAATCATGCACTTGGCTCACTGTACTTTGATAATGCAATAATTTGAGTTTAACTATAGCCAAAATTATGCTAGTTGTAATTTTTTGTGTGCATAATTTACACGTCTGTCTTTAAGCAATAAAAGGCTCTTATTAATTCTGCATTGGAACAAATCTCACTAAAAATATAGCGTAAATCACATTAGAATAAAGGTTAAGAGGACTATGCATACATTTGAACTAGCCAAAGTAATTGACTGAAAACTAACCAGGACTCCCTATATGCTCAGCATTTCCTCCAGGGGTGGGGCTTCACGTTCTGTTTCAACCATGGCAACCCGGTTTTAAACAGTGTTTTCTTATTCACTTGAACTGCAAGGTGGAGAAAGCAGGGTTTTTGACGACAAAGCAAATTTAGACCTCAAGTTGTACCACATTCAGCTTTTCTTTTCCTTGATGCATCAGACTGGCACTTTTTTTCAGTTTTTTACCCTAAACACAGTAATGTCAAACAACAGTCAGTTTGTGTTAGTGATTGGCTCGCAAATGTTAATTATTGTCAGTATATTTTTTCACAATCAGGTTAAGGTTAGGATCAGGTTAAATATAGTTAACTAATCACTAATTTGTCAACTCTCAATTTCTCAACTATTAAACAGTGTGCTTGAACCGTAATATTTTTTCTAGAATTACATCAGCTGGATAAGCCCGCCCCGGATAAAATGCAGAGAATTTATAGAGCCCCGAAATCTAACAGCATTTGGCTAATTGGCTAACTGGCAGCTGTGTAGCATGCTGTTGGCTCAGATGATGTGGAATCGTGGTCCGGGCGTTGCGATGATGTCACTGTAGGGCTCCTCCTGAAGCAGCTCCACGGCCTGCTGCTTCTTTAAAACCAGAAAACTGTAAAACTTTGCAGCTGCTTGTTTCCTGTTGTTGTTCCTGCACAGGTCCAAGAGACTCACAGACTGGGCCCCGGTTTTGTCCATCACCCGCTGAAAGTACAGGAAGGAAGAAGGTACGATTTTAGATTTGAGGGTTTCACATTGTTGATTAATTTGGTTGTCATTCAATAAGTAACAGCAAGTTTGTATTTGAAACTTTTATAAAATGTACAATAATGCAAACTTTTCCAGACCTGCAAGCCGTGAAGCATCTGTTGTGTTCTTTTGTTCCATCTTCGTTCTTCTTGGTCCTGGTCTCCTCCCTGCGCTTCCTCCTCCTGAAATGGTAAACAAACAAGTAAAAACTGCAGACATATGCACCCATTATTTCCCAAATCTGTATTGTGCATTATTTTGGATATTTAAGCTACTTCTGGACACTGTAGCCATGGTCTTTCACATCTGCATCTTAAAATATTATGCTGACAGCAAAATGTACTCATATACTTGAATGCTCTTTTACATTAACTTGTGGCAGTGCGAAAACAACCTAAAACATAAAACTATTATTATATAAATGGTGGCGCTCTCACCTCATCATCAGAATCGTCATCGGTCTTCTTCTTGTCTTTGTCGTTGAGCAGGTCCAGTTCGATAAGTTGGCTGATGGACGGTTCTTCTGGAGGCAGCTCTGAGGCCTCATCCTGGGACACTCCTCTGGAACCTTGCTGCTGATCCAATGCACCCAGCTACAAAAACATCAAGAAACATCTGATGGTGAGATACAAGCATTTTACCTATTTACTCACACTCCATATTTTGTAGTTTTTTGATTAGTCTTTATTTGAATGGACAATGTACAGAAACATTAAGAGCACAAAAACAGAAATGTTCAGCATATAGCTGATAGCATAAGCTTATAGCTTAATAGAATATACTTTTAAGAGGGCCTTTAGAGTTTACCAGTGTATTGTATAAAATAGCGTCTGTCTTTATTATTTTGTATTACCCTGCACTGTATATATTTCCCCCTCCCCCCAAGGACTACATATGCAAATTAGCTAATAAGCATCTCTGCTTTATGCATTATTGTACATTGTGCTGATTGATAAATAAATACATGGGTCAGTCCATATGAAATCAGACGCCCTCCCCTGTGAGCTATCTCAGATATGGCTGAAAAAATTTTAAATTTTTTTTTCTAAAATTACCAAATGAAAGAAGCTGAAATTTTAGCTCAATCCCTTCAGTCGTTCCTGTGTTATGGCCCGTTGAAATTTTGGCGCCATGCTCACTTTTTCAGAAGCCTTATTAATTTTACTGTATTGAATTGTCATTATCTCGCATATTGAGGTTCAGCAGTTAGTTTGTAAATATCTGCTTGGAGTAAATAGATCTTAGACCTCAAAAATTGAAAAAAAAAATAATAATAATAATAATTGAGCGGTAACCAAATGTGAGATTTTGGAGGCCAACAGCACCCCCCTTAATAAAGATACCTAATATTTGACAACAGATTTAGAATCAAGGTTTACAATAGATCAAGAATCTACAATAATACACATTTTCAGCTTCCTAGCTCTATTTTTGTTATGGTCTCTCAAAAATGCTTATAAATTAAGACTTTCAAACAAGTGAGCATGGCCCCAAAATTTCAATGGGACGACTCAAGGGATTGAGCTAAAATTTTACATTCGTTCATTTGGTAATTTTAGAAATTTTTGGACACATTTTCAGCCAAATCTGACATGGCTCATATGGGAGATTCCTTGAAAACGGCTGACGTCATATAGACTGACCCACATGAAAAAAACATGTCTCAGGTGAAGAAAAGAAGTTCAGATATAGTGAGGTAAAATTATAGTTGGGCTCTTGTATGTTTCCATACTCACAGGCAGTGCTGGTTCTGCGTCCTGTGCCTTGCGTTTGAGCCCTCTCTGACCAGAAGGGGGAGGCATCACAGACTCGTCCAGGGTCCTGCTGCCCTCCACGGCCGCAGACTGCAGAGCGCTGGCCTCCTCCATCAGCGTCTGGTCTTGAAGGCAGTGATCAATAGTTCTGTCATTTCTCTAAGCTTTAGAATTAGACTTAGATATACAGTAGACCAGCTTTGTACTCATTGGATCTTTATAGACGGAGTATTATGCAAATTGACTTTTTGGAGGATTCTGCCATTTTATGACCCCCATTAAAACATGCCGTGTTTTTATGAGTTAATCTTATAAACCTCCCTTACGGTTAGCAGTACGAGCCCATATAGCCTTTTTAAAATGATAACGTAACATGGCGATTAAAATATGCTAATTTGTAACAGTTAATACCGCACAGAAGTGTAATACCCTCTGTTTAATGCATCTATATCATGTGCAGTGAATTACAGTGGCAAAGATTCAACAGTAAAAATACTACAACTAGAATGTGACAAAATCAGATAACTTTGCCCTAACTAAATATATTCAGAAAAAAATGTACCAATTGCAAACTTGACAGTAATTGATACATTAACATTGCTGTCTGAAAAAGCTGTTCCAAAGCTAGGCACATGTCCAAAAATGTATATATTACATTTCTTTCTCATTTCCTGCATATGTTTACCCATGATGTCTTGCTGCTGCTGCTGTGTGGTGGTCTCCTCGCGGGGGACCTCAGAGTTCTCCAGGTCTTTAAGGAACTCGTCCAGACTGTCGGCCTCTCCGCCTTTCCTCCTCTTCCTCAGCTCGTCTGGGACCAGAGGGGTCAGGCAGCGGGTGAACATCTACAAGAGAATACAGGATGATTTTAGAGTTAAGGAACATTAAATCATTACCGGTATATTCTTAGCGAAAATATCGACACAAAGCAGCAAAGCCCATTTATCTCTTGCTATTGCAGTTACCTTGCTTTTTCCATTCTAATTCTAATGTCATGTTATTAATTTATATCTAAATTTTTTACAGTTTCACATGTCCTTCCAGTCACGAACAAGTAAATGTCTGCATAGAAATCACTTGACTGTTGACTTAGAAATAGAAATCACTTGACTGAAATTGACTCCACTGTTTTTTACAATAGACCTTAATGAAATTTAGTATAGGTCAACCACTCATGCCTTTGTTTTTTATTACCCAGGTACCCAGGTGCATTTCCAGATACCAGAAATGAAAAGCAATTCATGGGTTTCAGAATGACAAATTGGGAACACAATATTCTATCTTCTCAATGGTGAAATATACTGAAAATGTCACCTTTACCATAGACTGTATAAAAAAGTGGACTAAGGAAAAAATAGTGTCTGCTCCAGTCAAATGAAGCTCACTGAGGTTCACAGTTATAGGAGCAAATTTGGATCTGAATGCCAAATTAGGAATAGGTATTTATGTACAGACAAAATAGTGAAATAAAAACACCAGGATCATTTAGAGCAAATTAATACGAACATTGTAAAAAAATAAATAAATAAAGACTTGTAAGACCAAAATGACGAGCCTCACATCAGCAGTTACAGAGAAAGGGCTGACAATTTTTCAGTGTAAAGTTAATTGGAAGCCTAGTCGATGCAGCTGGAAGCGTGAAACATGAAACCCAAACATTTCTCTGGTCTTGTTTGTACCTTGAGCAGTCTGTTATTCCAGAGTGGCTGTGCAGGCAAAGAGAAGAGCTTCTCCACTCCTCCGGTCTCCTTCCACATCATCAGCTTCTTTGTGGGTGGGGCCAGGTCCAGCGTCGTGACAATGTCGGAGTAATCGGACAGCTGCGCCCGGATGGTCTTACTGTCCAGCTCCTTCACACTGTCCACAATCAGCTTCCTCTTTCTCTTGGCTTTGGTCTCCTTCACTGGAACAATATACAGGCAAGTAATACAATATGTGTTTTTAAATATTATGCACATTTAAGAAAAAGGTTTAACGGGCCCATATTACGCTATTTTTGCATCTGTGTTATAATGTTGTTTCCTCATTGAAAACAGACTTGGAGTTGTGTCTTTTGTCTAATTCACACATGTTTAACACAAAAACCTGCATAGGGTTTGTTAGGCTCAGTTTTTCTCTCTAACAGAAAACACTCTATGTCATGTGGTCATGTCATGTGGTAATACAGGAAGTGTTCATATAATTTCAGCCTTGGAATTGTCAATCTCTATTGAATTAGGTAAAAGGTTGCTGTTAATTTAAAAAGACATAAAATATAATTTAGACGTCGCACTGAAGAATAAAAACTGAGGAAAGACCTGGTTACTTAAGTGTGCACACACTCAAAAACTTTGTTGAAGCATCTTCTGACTGGCTTACTGCAGTATTTGTGGTTATAGGTCTATGATAATTAAACATATATATATATATAATAGACTTTACTGTTATTTTTTTCTTTTTGCAAATACAAATCTTCATCCTCATCTTTCTTAAAGGTTTTCTACCAATAAAGTTGTCTGTTCTTCCCTTGTACTCACTGACTTAATTGTCTTAGAAAGACTGAAACAGATAAACTTCTCCTTGTGTGTAACATAAAGGGGACATGCCTGTGGTACCTGTGATGTCGATTGGCTCCAGGGCGAAGGTCTCCTCTTCGTTATGGGCCAGAGCGGTCTGCTCTGCCTGGTCTGCCATTGCTGGGAGGGGCTCAGTGGGACCAGAGTCTGGACTGTCCGGAGCTCCGGCTGTAACACAGAAAACAACCACCACCGTGTACACAGTCAGGCTTTCTATAATGTCAAATAGACTTGTTACAGTGAAGAAGTTCATCTTTGATGTTTGATTAGGGCCCAACTAGGCCTGTCACAATAGTTACTAAACCAATTTATCATAAAATATTTTTAGTTGCCGACTTCTCAGCGATTATGTTTTTGATCAGTCAAATGAGTTTTGCTGTTGGGGGTTTTCAGTTTCTAGAATATGAAGATGGCACACTCCCAGGTTGGGGCAGAGCCAGCTCTTGTTTACATTGCACTTTTCCATGAACTAAGGTAAAATGTGGAACCTGACCATTTCTATTAGTGACTAGACCCAAGAGCAAACTGTATTACAATAAAATGTGCATTTTAACAATATTAATTTTAGCTGCCCCTCATCTGTATTACCCTAAATTATTGGCCTATAGAATGTGATGTCACCTGAAACTCAGCAATAGTACATCAAGATTTATAAATACATTTTTTAACCAAATAAAGGTTGACATATGAAGGTTAAAATCAGAATCAGTTTTTCCTTTTTACATTTTGATTTAATATTGGTTATAAAAGGTGGCATGTGTTTTAGAGTCTATATAGTCATAGAAAACCAAATTGGCCAAACCTTTTAACAATTATTAGAGGCAAAAAAAAACCCAACACAACTGACCAGAGAGTGCATCAAAGTCATCGTCATCATCTCCGTGGTCCTGGGGCATCATGACTCCTCCAGAGATCGCAGGAGGGTCGTCGAAGATCCCCCCTCCATCCTCATTACTCAGCAGCTTGTCCACTACACAGACAGGGACAATGCAGAGAGCATGGCATTTTAACAACAAGAAATAACAGAAAGCATTTGATCACAAGTGCTTTGTTTTATTTGCACTTAACTAGATTTTAAACAAGTAAGCCTGTATAATATATCTGTGAAAGCTAGAATTGCACCGCCAGCCTGTGTATCTGACCACTATCAACAATGTTTATGTTGAGAGCGAGTTTCGAACTGGTAACCTGTAGATCAGAGGACGAACACTGCCAAATAATGCAATGTAATGTGGTTTGGGTGTCTTAAAAGACGCTATATAAATCCAATACAGCCTTGCAGGACTACATTACCCAGCATGCCTCCTTCATTGCTCTCCATGGGGTTGTCTCCAAAGTCATCCTTGTACTGGTCATACTCCAGGTGGTTAGATTTGTCCGTCTGGTTGGCCCCGCCCTCCGCCTCCAGCAGCAGGTTGGACGCAGAAGCACCCATAATATCCACCTCAAACGCACTGCCCTCACGCATCATCTCACGGTCGTCCATCCCAAAGTCAGCTGACCGAGAAAAGACAAAGAAGGAAGAGAGGGAAAATCTTGTCAGTATTTTATTTCTGGAGTTATTTGATTATTGAAATGTCATGTAAACAGTTACATCTGATGTGAGCAATCAGATTTCTCTTTGATTGTTCACTTCTAAATCAATGTGGTAAAGACAATGTTAAAGAGGGGGGTATTACACACACGGGTATTAACTGCTAACACATTACATATTTAGATCACCACGGTACCTTCTATTGTTTTCAAAATGCTATAATCAGAGAAAACAACATCAATCAGCACTCAGTCACTCCCCCTTCAGAGCGCTATTGAAACACAATAAGTGTGCAGCGTGCTCAGGTTTGTCAAGTTGTAGTGTATTGCTTTGTATTCTGCTTTTGTATATTTATGGGAAATTGTTGTGTGGGAGGCAAGGCACGTTTATTTGTAAAGCACAATTTGTATACAAAGTAATTCAAAGTGCTTGGGTGAAATAGGCTTGTAGAACCTTGTACAGACTTATACTACTAACCTTAAAGAGGGTACAAATAGTGCTGAGTGATAGAGTGATAGAAATCTCTAGATTACTCAAACATGCTTGGATGACATATAAAACCTCTTCAGGTATATTTCTGATGAGGGAACAACATTATAATATAATGTTAGAAAGGACAAGACATCTGTATTTTTACAGTTAAACAACTCTTAGTTGTTCTTTACCATAAATCTTGAATATGATTACAAGCCATTTAAGTAAAACACATTTATATTAATTTCAGTGTCTCGTTGAACCTAATAACGCAATAGCGTTTATGAAAAAATAATGTAAGATGTTCAATGCATTTAGAGTCAGTGGAGGTACAGTTTTACTCACAGAAGTCATTGTCCTGGAGCAGGCTCAGGTTGCCTACTTCCTCTCTCATGGTGATCTCCTCGGCTCTGCTCTGGTTTAGGTTGAACTGCTGAGCCACGTCCAGATCACTACACAAAAAGATTTATCACAGTTTCATTGAGAAATTTTTATCACCATGGATTTTATGAGTCCAAGTTTCTACATTCAAAATTAAGTTAGAGATTGAGTTTTAATAACTTAGCCTGAGTCCATTCCAGTCCAAATGATAGAAGTTAAATTGGCTAAACATTGCAGTGGTTTGTTTGCACAGTGGTTTGTTACTATTTTATGTTGATAAGCTCCAGTTTCCAAAGCCAGGGTTAACTTGAAGTCTTGTTTGAAAGACATTTCAGTTTCCATCCAGAAGCCATTTTCAATTTGATGGAACTGCCTTGAAGCACTGAGAATTTAAGCTCACCTCCAAGTGCTTCAAAGCAGTTCCATTAAATTGAAAATGGCTTTTGCATGACCACCAATGAAATGCTCTATAATCAAAACCAAGTTAAACACAAATCTTAGCAGATGGTTCAAAGTTTATAATCAAGTCTGATCCCAAAAAACAAATTTCTGAGTATATTTCAGTTATATCCTTTGAAAGATCTGATTGTTTTAAATCATTCAAATATTTTCAACAACGGTTAAAAACTCACTCTAAGTCAGGCAGAGGTTGATCAAAATCATGAAACTCTTCCGGGAGTGTGATGGCATTGTAAGCTGCTTCTCTGTTTTCCTCTGGGAGATCCACCACACCTGTACAGATTATAATGTACAATATTAACTAAGAATTTACAATGAATCGATTATTGAAATAATCCATACAGACTCCAAATAAGAGGAGGTTTCATGGTGATTTTATATTGGTATATTCAAAAGGTGCACTGTGGTCTGGTACTTTACTGGTAGAGGGTCCATCACCTGTTTGTATCTATGGAGATTTTATATCTTTTGGCTGGAATGTTCAACTACACTACGGCAATAAACGTATGTATCATGGAGACATCACCAGACCAAGTTACAGGTGAGATCTATGAAGAAGTGACCACATTAACACTAAGAATGCAAGTTTTCAAGGTATATTTTCAATTAAAAGACCCATAATGAAATAAATTCTAGATCTAAATGTTTAATCCTATATTGTGCAATATTTCTAGCACAGCAATAATATCTACATGGAGACAAGCAGGTGGCAGACCAGAAAAGTTACACAGTGCATCTTTAATGTCTGTTTATTATCTTATCATTGAACAGGGATGGAAATGCCAGATTAAGAGCCTGTATGGACCTGGTCTGAAAGCCATCTTGATCTTGATGAAGGCCTCATTGCAGTCTGCCAGCAGATACTTGGCCTTCCTGTGGTAGATCCTCACCACCCCCAGAAGCAGGTGTCCTGAGGTGCGCAGAGCCATCTTCACCTGTTCAGTAATTAAAAGAAAAAAATAGAATCATTAAACACTTTATAAGACAGTACGACACCTTAACTGGTGCTGTGTATGGTCTGAAAAAGTCACAGTCTTTATATTTAAGATTTTACTTTTAATTACATGTAGTGATTTCATTCCTGGTTTTTTATGTTTTAAAATTATGGTTCCTGTTTGAAATCTGTCATCACACTAGGGAATTTCATAACTGTTACCTAGCAACCATTGAGCACACTGGGCCAAAACTAATGTACACTGAGTTTAGTATTTGACAAATAAAATCATACGAAAACACCTATAAACATTATGTCAACATAAATAAAGTATAAGAAAAAGTATAAGTGTTGCTTGCATGTAAATTGGGTTGAACATTTGAATTCTCTATGTGTGATGTTATTATGTTGTCATTATAGAACTCTCTAAGTAGAACTCTCTACTGTAATTTTTCAACTTTTCTTAACAAATTGTTTCTTGGTTGGTATAAAACTATCACTTATATTTACAACATCATTCAAGACAGGAGTGGCTGAGAGAAGAGCAGGCTGTTTTGGATGTTTATAAAATGGACAGAAATCAATTGGTTTAAAAAGTTAAAAAAGTTTTATAGTTGAGACAGCTTGGTCCATGTCATTACAGTGTACCTTTATCCACTTTTTTTTAGATGGATATTAGCTATTCTTGTATATGTGTAAATGGAAAAAAGTCTATATCTACCTACCTAAATACCTATTATGCAGTATTGAATTAGCCTATTATAATTCTGTTCCTATTATTTTCCTTATTTGAGCTTGTGTCATTTACTGTGCAACTGAGCTACCCTGATGTAAGTAAATAATTAAAGGCTTTTTTCATACTTATACACACACCCCATTAAAACTGTGACCACACCTGAAACTTGATCTATACTAAACCAGGACTAAACCAGGACTATGTCAGAGGTCGAACAAAACCAAATGTGACCTTAAACGCGATACCTTTCTATTTTTTATTCTGTTTTCAATATGTTCTGTCTTTATTATAATGTTGAGAAATGCATTAAAAGTGCAATACACAACTTTTCTGGTTGAAGTTACCACTGCTTATTGTTACTGTGTGTGGGTTAGGGATGCCAGGAATGTTCCACACTATGGCATTAAACCTATCTATCAAATAATTATTCATTTACATGTGTTTTTATTGCTCAAAAACACATTGAAAAAGAGCGTGCTTGCCTCTTCACAGCTCTGACTCATAACTTGGCCTGACGGTATTCTTGTACAGATAGAAAATTTGAATGCTGTGGAACATTTAGGCGAAGCAATAAAATGCTTATTATAGAGACCAGCACGTAGAGGACCATCCACTAGAAAAGTTACACAATGCACGATGCATGATTTCAAAAATGCTTTGTAACTTCATCTAAATGTACCTTTGGTGAAATGATGCTCTCCACACTGCTCTCCAGATTGCACTCAAACACATGTGCTTTGGTCAGCTTCTTGTCCCAGTGGGCCGCCAGCCAGATCTTAGCCAGCGGCCCCCTTTTGCTCAAGACGAAGTGTGCGTAAAACATGGTCCCAGCTCAGTTTCACCACAGCAGGGGGGAGAGAGGGGTGTGAGAGGGGTGAGAAGGGGGAGAGGGTCCTGGAAGGAAGTTTGCATCACAATAGAAGATCAATAAAAACAACCTTATCACATGATTCAAAAACTAAACAAAGAGTGACAGCTGAAAGGACTGAGGGTCTTTGAGGTTCATAATTGGACATTTATCAAAACTGTCAAGATGTTTACCAAAAGAGTGCTAAGAGACAGAATGTGTTTCATTTTCTAGTAACCTACAATGCACCACACATTTCATGATAGAAATGTGTTTTGCTTATAGAATAGATGGATGTCACATAACTTTAAATAATTTCCCTGTAAAATGGAGTGCGCCTAATTCATTAGCATTGAAAATATGGCTATTCATAACATAGATAGATACAGACAGACAGACCGATAGATACTTTATTGATCCTGAAGGCAACTCAAACCTAATTTCCTAATTTCTGCTTGGGAGTGGCAAGAGTGTCAATGATGACTAATGACATATTCTGCTGTAAAAGCTCAAAACATCTAAAATGTATAAGAGCTGCTACAGTATAATAACAAATATAAAAGTCTACAACTTTGCTCAATGTTTAGTTTGTATCTGAAACTAGAAAATCAACTCAACAATCATAGAAAACCAGTTCAGAATCAGCTAAACAACAGTGACACTGCACACATTTATCCTCTTTTCAGATAAGAAGTTTCTGAGTCTGTGTGTTGAGGAAGTAATTATTGTTGGGTAAAAACAACAGCTACACAACAAAAATGAGTCTATAAAAAGCAAAGAAACACTTTTTGTCTATACTAGGCCAGGAATTGTATATAGGGCCCATATTACACAATTTTCCGAACTATGTTAGAATGTTGTTTCCTCATCAAAAACATGCCCAGAGTAAGATTTTATTTCAATCACACATGTTTAACACTAAAACCCCGTATTTATGCTGTATTCTTCTCAGGAAAAACAGGCAACACAGTGTTCCACCTTGTGATGTCATTTGGTAATACAGGAAGTGCTCCATTGTGTTTTTAAATTACATACACATTTACTAAAAGTAGAATCATTTACAATCTCTACAAAACTAAAAATAAAAGGTAGCTGTTAATTTGATGACTTCTGCTTCATGACATCACAAGGTGGAACAGGGCATTTTGAGCTTTAGAGAGAAACAGACTAAAAATAAAGGGTTACTCAAGCATGTATAAATGAATCAAAACACAAGTTCAGGTTTGTTTTTGAGGAGGTAACAATATTCTAACATAAAGCTCACAAGAAACAAGTTAGGCACTGTTAAGTAAATAGGCTCCAGTACACTGCTAGTATTGTATAAAGTAGGTAGACCTGTTTGTTATTAGCTAGTTTCTTTGTCTATCTCACTTAAAGGTATTGCATTTCACTTTGCATTTGGCTGCTGTCTGTATGCATGACAAGACAACCAACTATCAGGACTGAAGGCTGCAGCAGTGATGTCATCCAGTTTAACATCTCCATAACAATGCATAGACCTGTATATTCATCTAATGCACACTCGGATTACGCAAATGCACAAATCACGTTTAATGCAGATCAACAAATGATTTAAAACGTAACCTTAATAGCACAGTCGTCTGATCTTTCCCCAACAGGTGATGCTGCAGATGAACTAGCGATTCACACCCCTTCCATAATTAAATCATGCACAAAATAACACTGATTTTGTGCAGTCTATAGCCTTTTCTCCTTAGTACAAAGCAGAAATAGCGTACCTGTTAGCCGTTTCGCCCCGGTACCGGCCGCCAGCTCGCCTTCGTTCGTTTTCCATCACTCCCCCTCTGAAGAAGGACCAAGATGGCGCCGTGCTCCGTGTCTCCGGTGCTCCTCCAGAGAGAGCAGCGGGGATTGGACGAACCGGAGCCGGCGAGAGCGGTGCTGATGCTGGGCACAGAGGCAGGGAGGGAGGGGGCAGCACGGTGAGGTAATGCAAAGACCCGTTGGCTGTTTGTGATGGGAAGTTAATTTGTCCTTTTTTATGCGAGTGGTTTAAACTTAAAATATTTCGCTATTTTATGTTTTAATGCTCTTTCTTCGTCAAAAACATAGGGCATGATGTCTTGTTTTATCTCATTCACACATGCTTAACACACTTCTCTCAAACGGAAAACGGTCTGTTCCACCTTGTGATGTCATGTGGTGATACTGGAAGTGCTCCACTGTGTTTTTAAACTTCTTCATCCACCTTCAGCAGACTCGTTTGGACAATTTCAGCTGGAACTGCCAATCTCTTCAGAACTAAAGGTAAAAAGGTAGGCCTAGCTGTTAACTTGAAAACTACCACTTCATGACATCACAAGGTGGAACAGAACATTTTGAGCTCTGAAGATGTAGACAGACTAATAGTTTAATAAAGGGTTACTCAAATAAGTGTGAATGCAACCAAACATATCTCTGAGTTCGTTTTTGAGGAACAATCTAATTTGAAAATCTAAAAGCTTTTAAAGGCTCAGTTTTTCATTATAGGACCTGTAAAATTATCATACTTTATGCAAATTTGCTATCTTGAATGTTTATGATTTTTTCAGATTTGCTTGTTTGTTTTGTGATTTTAATGCATTTCTGTAGTAAAGCACTTTAAATTACTTTTGCCTTCAGAGTAGGCCTTCATTTTTAGCCATTATAAGCCTAATAATTGGCTAATGACCTTCTAAGATGTTTCTATATGATATGAATGTGCTAAAAATTGCAGTAAATGCTTCACTAAAATACAAGTCGCCTAAGTAATTATATATTATGCTACTAGGCTAAATAAAAGTTGAAAATATTTAGACCGACCACTAGGGGGCATCAGCGTAACTTGAATGGAGTGCAGTTAGTGTATGAACCAACAGATCAACAGATACACAGTCTAAATACGCAGGGTTTGTGTGACTGAAACAAAACACAACCCAGGTATGTTTCTGATGATAAATCATTATAACATAGATGTGGAAATGGTGTAATATAGGCCCTTTAAACGCCTCTGGGGTAAGTGGTCAGGAGCAGTGGGACGTATCCTGATCTTGAACTTATGACTATTTTGTTGATTGTGCTTACCGTGCATGTTTTCAGTTGATGGGGGAAAACTGCAATGCCTGTAGGAAACCCACCCAGACACAAGAAGAACCATGTGACCTCTGCACAGATGCCACCGTCCTGCCTGTCCACATGGTGAAGTAACTGAGTGAGGGTAACTGAATGATGCATTTGTGAAAAAACACTGAGCAAGTTTTTTTTAATACTTCTACCCAGCCTATCCACTTTATTCTGCCCTGCCCTCTTTTGTCTCTAAATGCTCCTAAACCACGCTTTTTTGTGGTTGCATTGCCTGTAAAACGGGAATCCCATTCATGTCAATGGAGAATTTGGGAAACGTTTTGCATCTTAAATATGACATAAAGTTGGTACATTTGTGTAAAATGTTAAAATTTCATATGCACCAACAAGTCACACTGCACTGATTCTCCAGGGGGCTTTAAAATGGCTTTATAGAGAATTATTATGACAGCACCCACAGTAACGTCCAGAATAAGGTGGATATGTGAGTGTATTTAACTTCTATGGGGTATCAACCGCTGACACATAACATATTTAGATTGCCATGTTACCTTTTATTGTTTTAAAAATGCTATATTCACTGAAAACTACATATTAAGTTTGTATTTTGTTTTTGATACTCTGAGCCTCCCCTCCCTCTGCTCCCCATGTTACTCCCTTAATGAAACTACTGCATATTGCATCAGGTTTGTCAAGTTGCTGTGTACAGTTTTGTCTCATGCTTTTGTATATTTATGGAGAATCGTGTGAGAGAATGGATGTCGCAGACTTACGGGCCAAACATTGCACAGAATCATTAAGGAGCGTTTGATTGCAGGCCTGGGAAAGATTGTTCAACATGCATGGATGACAGCTAAAACCTCTTCAGGCATGATTTTGACGAGGGAACAATGTCATAACTTGGTAGAAAGCTTAAAAAACTAATTTGGCATAGTGCAAATACTTCACCCTCAAGTAGTAACTTTGACATCCTGCCTTTACTTAAGTTAATTTCTTACATTTAAACTTGAGTGATGTGATATTATATCTGTGCAGTCAGGCTGTTTCCTAATTATGTAAAACTGGGGCTCTTCTCCGTGTCTGTGGAGCAGGACGTCTCTGGTCTCTCTTGTGTCAGGCGCTCTGCTAATTGGTGTGTGTCCCTTGACCTTCAAAAGTCTGAGTCTCTCTCAGTTCACAGGGTCCAAATGGAGTCATGGCTCAGGTCTGACCAGCTCTGACAGGTCCTCTTCCCCCCTTCTCCTCACTCCTGCCTCTCCTCTCCCCTCCTCTCATCCACCTCCTCCGCCTTTAAGTCATTCCTCTTCTTCTTCAACCCTCCTCCTCTTCCTCTCTCCTCCCTCTTCCTCCCCTCTTCCCTTGTCTGCACATCTGTAAACAAAGTGTGTCTGATAAATGTGAGAATAGGGCATGGGAGAAGTGTTTAACAGCTCAAAGCTCAGCACTCACTCCTAAACCCTAATGTTGGCTTTCTGATCGCAAATACAGAGGACAAATTTCCCTACGGGGGAAGCTAGTTCAATGGATCAGGGCTTTGTGCAGTGAATGGACTCAGCTCTGTGTCCTCCTCCCTGCGCAACTGTCCGTAATCTGACAGAGTGGTCTTATTTAAGATATTCTCAACACAGGGGGCATTACAAGAGCCAGAGCCTATACACTGCAAAACATTTGTTCACCTGTTGAAATATACCAGAGAAAAAAACACTTACATTGTTTTTTTTTAAAGGGCCTATATTACATTATTTTCTGATTTATGCTATAATGTTGTTTCCTCATTTCAAACATTCATGAAGTTGTGTTTTGTTTCATTCGCACGTTTAACTCACAAATCTTGTATATCCTCCTGGGACCAATAAATGCAATATATATTTTTTGTGATTTTCTATCTATATTAGCAGTTAGATTTTGTTAATTTAATTTTTATTTATTTGTAACATATGTAATGGACGCCAGGGACATTTTGGTGTTAAATCTATGTGACCTAACAAAAACAACCTTTTTGTGACCAGACGTCCCTATTTACTCGGGACAGTCTCAGTTTTGTGCTCTATGTCCCCTGTCTCAGCAGATTTATCCAAAACCAGTGAAGCATCTCTTTTTTTTTTTTTTTTTTTTTTACACGAAATGTCCTAGGTTCTCTATTTTTGACAAATTTAATCCCTACCAACAGTAAAGAGAGAAACTGTCATTTGTTTTGGTAAAATTCAGAAAAGCTGCTTAAAAATGTCCAAAACACAAAGAAAATGTGACTATACTGACTCACATGTTAGTCATGAATGGGCCGAGTGTAGAACAATTCTCCTTAATTATGCACTCCTTTCACAATTTTATTATTACCAGCCGCTCCAAACCGGGTGTGTCCCATTTTTTTATTTTGAAAATCTGGTCACCCTACTACTGAGTTCATTTTTTATCCTGGACATGATAGTACCCCATAATCCTCAGACCTATTTAGGCAGAAGAACCTAGTCCTCCGATTAAGAGTCTCTCTCAAAACACTTAAAAGATAGACTGGTTAACTCAAAGTTCACTATAAAGGACACAAATGAATGGGCCAGGTCTCAGGAGGACACTTCACTTATTTGTATAATTTCAGCCCTGGAGGTTAAAACTACCACTACATGACATCACAAGGTGGAACAGATCATTTTGAGCTTTGGAGATGTAGACACAGTAATACTCAGAAGTACGAATGAGACAAAACACAAGTCCAGGTATGTTTTTGATGAGCTCACAAGAGTCAATTTTGTGTAATATATGTATGGAGTTTAAAAACACACTGGAGCAATTCCTGTATTACCATATGACGTCACAAGAAGAACTCAGCCTAAATATGCAGGGTTTGTGTGTTAAACATGTGTGAATGAAACAAAACACAACTCCAGGTATGTTTGTGATGAGGAAACAACATTATAACAATAAAAAATAGTGTAAATCGGGCTCTTTAAACATGGTAAATAAAACTACAAAAGTACAGTTTTTAGAGTGTATAGGCTTAGCACATGGCCACTTAATCCATTTGTCCAATAGCCAGCACAGATTTCTCACACTGGAGCTGTATGGGACCGTCCAGACTGCAAAAGGGTAAAAAGGGGAGGGCGCAGGAGGGAGGGGGGGCTCCTTTTCACTTCTTAGTTAGACTCAACAATAGTCTTTGTCCGGGATCTTCCAGCATTATTATTAGCGCTACTGAACAGAGTTGAGAGGGGGGGGAGGAGAAAGGGGGGGGAGGAGGGGGGCATCACCATAGCAACAGTGACAAAACAGGGCAGTCCTCACATCGGCCACGGGACAAGGCAGCTGCTGACAGAGGGAGAGAAAGCATGCTAAGACTTTGTTAGAAGAGGACTTCCAAAACTGAGATATACCCACTTTTTGACAACGTTTTTTTGGGGTGTTTAAATCTGACCCCCTAAAATGAGCAGGGACAGCCACAGCGAGGACACTCTGTCCACTCTGATGTTGGATAATATTAAGAATAAACTCATACACGCCTTCAGGGTGACAGGGGATGGAGCCAGAGGCGATGGGTGTCATAGAGGTGGAGCTGGACGACCCATGAGCATCGGCCGCAGTCTTCAGGCCAACGAAGAGCTAAGGAGGGCACAGATCGACGGGGCCATAACTTGGATCAGGTCTGAACTGGTGAGTAAAGTTTTTATATTCTATTTGGTATTTAAAAATTGTGATTGCGTGTCTGTAAATTACTTTTAGAATGTTCCTCAGTATGGTGTCAAAACTTAAATAGCCACTAGCGGTGGCCCCTCTCTGTTAGCATGTTTTTGTTTTATGTTAGTGTTTAAAAACACACAGAGTTCTGTTATGTTTATTCCATGAGTCTAGTGAAGTGTGGAAACACAAAACACAACTCCAAGTATGTTTGTGATGAAGACAACATTATTACACAGATCAGAAAATAGCGCAGTAGAGGCCCTTTAGATAAATAAATCTAACTGGTGTCTTGTTGTTTCTCAGTTGGAGATGCGCTCTCAGGATCTGCAGCTGGCTCAGACTCTGCTGGGATTGAACACTGAGATCCAGAGACTGAGGAGGGAGAGTTTTGGAGGGTCAGACATCGACGAGCAGCAGTGAATACACAAGAATAACTCTACTGCGGACTATATTAAATATATTATCTCATCTGATTCCATATAAGTTCAATGAATTCATATTTTTCACTTAAACTACACAGAATCAGAAAAGATGACATATATAGATTTAGTTTAAAGCTGCACTATGTAACTTTTGTGGTGGGGGGATTCCATTGCTGTCCCTTGAAAGTTCCACAGTATGGCATTTAACTTTCCTATCTGACATTAATTAAATTACAGGTGCTGAAGATAAGTTTAATTTAATAACATACCATGGAACATTCTAAGAGCAGATGGTGGTTACATAGTGCTCTTTTAAATCGTCTTTTTATTATTTTGTGTTAGATTTTTGGACAATGCAACAGCAGGATCATATCGGCCTTTTCTTTCACTGCAGAACAATAACAACAATGGACAATTTATCTTGGAAAAAGTGGATAGCCTTTTGGTATTGAGCAGCTCTTTTTCACTGCCATCGTTGCTGAAAAAGTTTATACTAGCTTATAGTTTTTTGAGTCCAAAGATATAAATTGATACTTTGCAGAGCCATCATGCTGGGGGTGTTCTACATGTCTGTCTATAGTGTAAAGTTCAGCAGGTACCATGGTGACACAATGTATACATTAGCAAACACTGCCAAGTTTTAAGATTGTCAGAAAACTCAAGGGAAAAAAACAAAATGGATTTAAACTACACATTTTCAGCAGTCTGTGATCAATACGAGTGTGCGTGGTCCTGTTTAGGTGATTTTCAACAAAAAGGAAGAGAGTGAACTTCTTTAGCAGCACAAATCATCTCAAATGTTGTAATTCTAACCAAGTCAGTTCTTTCTGGTGAGATTGTGTTAAAATAAAACTCAGTTAGCTTCACACTTCTTGGGAATGTTGATGACATCGGCTGTAAAGTATCAATGAAATCATATGATTTTTGCCAATGCACTTATGCGAAGAAAAGAAGTCATAGTTGATGTTTTGCAATTGTTTTTGCTTTGTTTTTATATAATTTTTGTGTTTAAATAAAAAACAAAATAAAAGCAAGCACAAATTTGTTTTTCATGTCTTTATTTTACTGGCATACTGCATTACCCCACAGTACCTGTTTAACACATAAATCAACATGTTACATACATTCATATTTGACCAGTCTACATTCATCTTGATGGAGTTAACAGTGAAACAGCTAAATCATGTTCATGCTACAACAGTCAGTGCATACATTATATGGACACAATAAACCAGAGTCTGATTTTATGAGCACATTCCACAGCCCCTAAAGGTCAGTAAGCTTCAGTGCTGCACATACATTTGTGGTCATCAAGCATCTCATGCACTACAGTAACTCACACTACATTTAAAGGTCCTATATTATGCAAAATCTACTCCTGCGAGCTTTAAGTGTTATAATGTTACCTCCTCAAAAACATACCCACAGTAGTGTTTTGTTTCATTCACTCAAAATGCTCTGTTCCGTGTTATGATGTCCTGAAGTGGTACTTTTCGAGTTACAGTTTACCTTTTATTCAGTATAGATTGGCAATTCCAGGACTGAAAACACCCAAAAGATTCTAGTGAAGGTGTATGGAGCACTTCCTGTACCGCGTAATATCACAAGTGTTTTCCGTTTGAGAGAAGAACTCAGTGTATATGTAAGATTTGTTTTAAACATGTGTGAAACAAATTACACAAAACACAGCTCCAGGTATGTTTTTGATGAGGAAAGAACTCAAGAAATGGCATAATATGTGCACTTTAATTACATGACAACAACTGACTCATGAAAATGATTAGTTAGGACATATATTTTTCTAGCACTAAACATTTTACACAAAACATTTTAGGTTGTGTCAAGGTTGCATGACTACTCGCCCCAAACTATAAAAATTTGACACTAAAAAGTCAAGACATGTGCACATAGTTAATATTTGGCATCAAAATTCAGGTTTTCTATAAAATTTCATCTTGCCAAACACAAGAACTGTCAATCACATTTCCAATACCCTACCATAAAATGTATGGGAGTCAATAGTACACAATAGTAACCAGTAGTAAACAGGACATTTCAATCCTTTGTCATAAAACTTCATTACACTCAACTTGTATATCTTATGTTTAGAATCTTAAAGCTCCACTGCATAACATTCATCTTATGACTAGAATATAAAATGGGCTTTTTTATTGCCAGAATGTACGTACAGTATGTATCTATGTCTGAAAAGTTACACAGTGGACCTTTAAATAAAGAAAACTAATTACGACACAGAAGTTCTCAGAGCGCTCCTTAGTCACTGCTTTCTTTTTTATTCAATATGGGTGTATTAAAACATGCACCCTTTTGCTAGTCTTTTCTTCTGCTGAAATGTTACATAGTGAAACTTTAAGTACAAAATACATTTCAACATTTGAGGTTAGTGTGCAGTCACAGAGCTCCTTCTGATCAATGTCTTTTTGATTATTTTAATATGATTGTTTTATATTTCAAAACTATATCAAAGAACATGCACGCTTACAGTTTTTTGTTGAAATGTTACACCGTGAAGCTTTTTAAATAAAATAAACAGTAAACAATAACAATTTATAAACAATTCCAATATGAGTGCATTAAAAATCATGCACCTCTATTAGCAGTTTTTATTTAATTATGCATTGAAAAACATGCATCTTTACTCTCATGTTACATACTGAAGCTTTAAGTAAAGGGCACAGAGCTCCTCCTGATCACTGCTCTCTTGTTATTTTCAATATAAATGTTTTCTATTGTGCACTGAAAAACATGCAACCTTAATCTTTTTTGCTGAAATGTTACGTAGTGAAGCCTTAAGGAAACAAAAGTATGAGCTCGGTTATGTATTCAGGGCTCAGAGCTCCTCTTGATCACTGCTCTCTTATTTCAATATGAATGTTTTCTATTTTACATAATAAAATATAATCTTGCTGAAATGTTACGCAGTGAAGCTTTAAGTAAACAAAAATGTGAGCTTGGTTACTGGTTCAGGGCACAGAGCTCCTCCTGATCACACCTCTTTTGTTCAGTACTCGTGTACAGAGTCTCACAGGGGTTGCCAGATAAGACACTTCCCCTGAGCTGGAGTACTGACTGCTGTTACTGCTGTGGTCGCTGTCACTGTCCCACACACTGCTCTCCCTCTCCCCAGGCACCTCCTCCTCCTCTTCCTCCTCCTCCAGCTCGTGCTTCAGCTCCTGTATGCCTGAGTGGAGCTCCATCAGCTGACGAATCAGGGCCTGGTCCTGGGAACGCATCTCCATCTGAAACAGTTCAAAAATGTAACTTTGATGGAGTTTGGCCCATGTTACTCTACAAAAGCTGCATATTTAGGATTAGTTTTTCCTTCCAAAGTGAAAACACTCTGATCCACCTTGTGATGTCATGGTAATGTGTTTTCAAACTCCATGCACCTTCACTAGAATAATTAAGATGATTTCATTTCTAGAACAGAATTGAAATCCCGAACAAAACGTAAAAGGACCTGTTAACTTGAAAACTATGTCGCTTCATGACATCACAAGGTGGAACAGAGCATTTTGAGATTTGGTGATATAGACATACTAATAATAAAAGATTACTGAAACATGTGTGAATGAAACAAAACACAACCTGAGGCATGTTTTTGAGGAGGTAACTGTAGTTCAAATCATTAAGTAAATGATGTTGATTTAAAGTAATATTGTGTACCATTTAACCACGATAGTCAACAAGATACTTAAAGTTTCAGTGCAATAAAAACATCCTATAAATATATATGCATAAATAAATAAACATGCTTTTACTTTTGTTTATTTTTTGGGCTTAAGTTACATGGTGAGACTTAAATGTAAGCCTCTTATATAATGAGATTGCTCAGGCCTCACAGTTCACACAGGAGGGGGCCTCTGTGTGGTGGTGCATGTTTCTCTGTGTCTGGGTGGGTTTCCTCAGAGCACACTGGATTCAACATAATCCTGATATTTACACATATTTGTTATGCTTTTATGTATCTTTTATATTCATTTTTATACTTTCAATTCACATAAAATTATTTGGTGCAAAGAGATTACATACTGTAACACATCAACGTTACTTAAAACCATAAATTGTATATATAATTGGACATAGCTAACCCACTAGCTGCTGTGTTCCAAATAGGAAGTGAGCATGGGGGCGCTTCCGGCTTTATCAACTCTGGCTCCAATTTACTTTATATTGAAACTGAAAAACTGTCACCCCACTCTCTGTAACCGCTGCTGTCAGGCTTGTCATTTTGGCCTTAAAATGTTTGTACTAACTCGCTCTATGCAATCCTGGTATTTTTATTTCACTATTTTTTTTCAGTAAATCAAGATTAAGATGAACAAATCATGTGCATTTTTTACCTGAGATTGCTTACATCCATGCCCTCACCGCTGGTTTAGCAGGGGGAAACGGGGCAAGGCTGTTGAGGACATTACCTTCAATGAATTTATTTGGGTGTCTTAGTACGACTTTAGTAAACTACAAAGCTGCACCACTTGCAGCATTACGGCTACTGTAGTCAAGAGCATCGCGGAGTAATACATACTGTGATTCCTTTTAATATCAAAATGCAAACTCAAGGCTATTATAAAGTTAAACTGCGAGCTGCGTGGGAGCAGTGGATGAGAGAAGGCGAACACACATTCACCAAGACAGGGAGACAGTGCCGAGCGACTTACGCCACGATCTGCCGATGGATCGTGGACGCCTGGGCTAAGGATCAGTATCAACTGTAGTCTGAACTTTCACCAAGACCGCGCCCTATAGTGCAGAAAATACAGTACTCAGCTCCAAATTTGCTCCTGTCACTGCAAGCCTCTATGAGCTTCATTTGACTGGAGCCAGACCTATGAGTGACATCATACTGCTTTAGTCCACTTCTTTATAGCTACAGCTTCAAATCTATACAACTCAAGTAAGTACAAAGTGATCCAAGAAATTACTCAAAAAAGTTTCTTCAATAAAACATTACTCAAGTAGGGGTAAAAGTATGTTGATAGAAAAGTACACAAAAAAGTAAAATTTCTTCAACTAAATGTAACTGAGTAAATGTAACTGAATACTACCCACCTCTGGAATTACCCAGATAGACTTGAGCAGGTTCCCTCACAGCATGAAGCCACAGCTCCTTTCACTATGGTCCCACTTTTCACATGCTAATACATTTCTGCCTTCATGTCCTTTCTCTTTATGAGCACTGGTCTAATTGGTGCCATTGTAAAATCAGAAGTTCACAATCCCGTAACTCCAAGTCCAAGTTTGTTTAAGGACGTAGGAATGTCCCACACACAAAGGCGTCGCTGAACTCATCTGCATTTCTTTTCTCTGTAATTACGACTGTGTTCTCAGACTGAGAGTGACTGGATTTAACGCCCTCAACAAGAAACTGAACAGTAATGAGATCGGCTCTTCTGGAGAAATTGAGTTCTTTAGTGTTTTTTGTATGTCAAACTCATTTAGATTTTTTATTTTTAATAAGTGTCAAAAATAATTTCACACATGGAGCCTCAAAATTTTACAAGGGCCATACTATGCTGTTTTCTGATCTGTGTTATAACATACCAAGAGTTGTGTTTTGTTTCACGCTTTGTTTCATGTTTAGTTCTTTTCTCAAACAGAATACAGTTTGCTCTATCTTGTGATGTCATGTGCTCCACTGTGTTTTTAAACTCCATACATTTTCACTAGGATCACTGGGATAATTTCTGCCCTAAAATTTGTAATCTGGACTGACCAAAGTAAAGGTTAGCCAGGCTGGCGCCACCTAGTGCCTCCGCTCAATTTCATTTTTCTCTCCAGCAAATAGGTCAGAAATCGGAATACACTAGACGGTTCGCAAAAAACGTGCGAGTTCGGGCACTAGCGAATCAGCAAAGAGTCATACATTCTGTGTTGGCAACGATTTCCGAGATCTAGGACTTAAAGCCGGAACAAAGAGAATGTTTGGTTAATTTTATAAAAGGGAAAGACGTTATTGCCCTTCTTCCGATGGGATTTGGGAAAAACGTTATATACCAGTTAGCCCCGTTCAGTGTTGGGAAGGTTACTTTTAAATGTATTCCCCTACAGATTACAGATTACATACCCCAAAGTGTAGTTTGTAACGTAATCCATTAAATTACTTAAAGTGAGTAATGTAATCTGAATACTTTGGATTACTTGATATTGTCATGCTTTTTAAAACGACATGAATGTAGCAACCACATCCTGAAAATTTCTGTTTGTTCTCTTCAAATTGTCTGTTGACCCAAAGTCTCCATGAATAAGCAACTGTTTACTGTAGAGAAGCAAAGACCAGGATTTGTTAGGATTAGGACTAGGATGTTAACATAAAATGTTTTATCTCCTAAAAGACAATAACAAGCTCAGTCTTTCCTTAACCATATTAAAAAATATTATTAAAAGAGAAATTATTTTTATATGAGATCACCTTAAATTATGTCCAACCTACTGTTAAGTGTCATATTGTTTAGACCTGGTTTAGTCCTGGATTTAGTCCTGGTTTAGTCCTGATTTTAGACCTGGTTGAGTCCTGGTTTTAGTCCTGGTTTTAGACCTGCTTTAGTTTTGGTTTAGTCCTGGTTTTAGTCCTGATTTTAGACCTGATTTTAGGCCTGGTTTAGTTCTGGTTTAGTCCTGGTTTTAGTCCTGATTTTAGACTTGGTTTAGTTCTGGTTTAGTCCTGATTTTAGACCTGGTTTAGTTCTGGTTTAGTTCTGGTTTAGTCCTGGTTTAGTCCTGATTTTAGACCTGGTTTAGTTCTGGTTTAGTTCTGGTTTAGTCCTGGTTTAGTCCTGATTTTAGACCTGGTTTAGTTCTGGTTTAGTTCTGGTTTAGTCCTGGTTTAGTCCTGATTTTAGACCTGTTTTAGAGGCGAACAGGAGGAAGCGCGGTCTACGCAGCGTACGCGAGAAAACATGACATTTACATCGCTCTTATTGCCACGTTCTGTTTGGGTTTCCGGCAATGAGTGGAATTACCGAAATAAAAAAATAAATAAATGGGATGTAGCACAAAATGTGAAAACAGGAAAATACCGCCTTGTAATCCACTTATTTCAGCAAATTAACTGTAATCCAATTACCACTCACTGAAACAGTAACTGTAACCGAATACAGTTATTCATAATTTGTACTCTGATTACGTAACGGCGGTACATGGAATCTGTTACTCCCCAACACTGACCCCGTTACGACCAAATAGCAGAGACTGATGAAATGAAAAAAAGTACCCGCCTACCATCAATTGAACAAATTCTAACACTGCGAAGTCAGATGGTTTCTACGAAGTGAAAACGGCTGATGAATCAGGCTAGGTAAAGGTAGCTGTTAACTTGAAAATTACACCTCATGACATCACAGGGTGGAACAGAGAATTTTGAGCTTTGGAGATGTGGACAGCCTAATAATGCAGGATTACACAAACAGGTGTGAATGAAACAAAACACAACTCCAGGTATGTTTTTGATGATGTAACAACATTCTAACATGGCTTAAAGCTCACAAGAGTCAATTTTGCATAATATAGGATCTTTAATTAATTGTATCTCTGAATTAGAATATATTTAATTATAGAAACTACAGTGCTTTGTGTGTTGTGTTCTTTAGGTTAAGACAGTGTTTGATTTCCCATGATAAAGTGCACATTGTTTTGTTTTGTTTCTTTTTTGTGGAAGAGCTAGTGCAGGAACTTGTTCTGTTGGAGGATTCGCGACCTATCTCCATGAGGATGTTATGTCTATATCTATTTAAAGTTCCACAGTATGGCATTAATCTTATGTATCTCTTAGGAGACAAGAAGGTAGGGCACCAGGCCAAGCTACAGGTCAGATCTGTGGAGAGGTTTACTTCAACTGAATAAATAAAACACAGATGAGCTTGAATACTTTGACACATTCTAGATATAGCAGTCGATACTTTGCAGCTGATGTCATCAACCTTCACTGGGGGTGTGATGCTAAGTGTAGACACTGATCTGTCTGAAGCTCTGTTATTCAAGTTAGACGTTTACCACAATCTGACCTGAAAGAACTAATTTTGAAACTACAACATGTGAGATGATTTTTACTGCATACAAGTCCCTCTCAAGTTCTCTAGCACTAGCCAACTTTTTTTAGTAAGTCACTCTCACCTTTTTTTGTTCTTGTTGAAAATCAAACAACGCATTTTCAGGAGTCTGTGATCAATACGAATGTGACTGTAATGTTATTTGAGAGGAGCTTATTTAACATCTCACCTACTGTCATTCCAACTAAGTCGATTCTTTATGGCCAGATTGTATTAATATAAATCTCAAATTAAAGTCTAACAAACCCTCAGACAGAGCATGCCTACAGTTAGCATAAAACCTCCAGGGAATGTTGATGACATCGAATGGAAACTATCACTGCCGTCCCCGTATAGTTCTAATGCACAGTCATTGTCTGCATCTTCCTGCGTCTTGGTTGCCATGACAAACAGTTCACTAACTCCAGTAACTCATGACCCTCTGACAATAGGCCTCACATAAAGAACAGAATGAGACAAACGCAGACAAGTGGTTATGTAACAACTCAACCAACACAAAAAGCAATTAAATCTGTAACAACATGTACGTCCTAAATAATTGTGTAATGGGAGGAACTTTGAAGACCCCAAAACCCAAAGCTTGTTGTCAGCTAAAAAAACAATAAACCATCATTTTTATATGGTAAATTTGTGGAGATAATCCCAAACAAACACTGATCAGGTTTGTGGATCAATTCCCAATACCCTCATCTGAAACATAAACATAAACATAAACATTTTGACATAAACAAACTCTAGAATGAGAATTTAACCAGTAACTTTTAGATTCACACTGTTTGTGAACTGTGTGTATAGAGCATAATTTCTGTCTTTCCAAAACAAAAACTGGAGTATTGTTTTATTCACACATGTTTCACACTCTTCTTTTCTCAAACTAAAAACACTCTGTTCCACCTTGTGATGTCATGTGGTAATACAAGAAGTTCTCCACTTTGTTTTTGAACTCCGTACACCTTCATTAGAATCATTTGGATAATTTCAGCCCTGGAATTTCCAATCATTGCTGAACTAAAGGTAAAAGGAAGCTGTTAAAACTACAGCTTTTTGACCTTTGGAGATGTAGATATAAAAATGACAAAGGACTACTCAAACATGTGTGACAGAAATAAAACACAACTCCAGGTATGTTTTTGATGAGATAACATTCTAACACGGCTTAAAGCTCATGAAAGTCAATTTTGTGCAATATAGGATCTTTAATGAATGCAAGATGTTTGTTTTGTTTTGTAGCGCTGCAAAATGACAGAATAAACTACTACCATAAACTGTAAACTATAAGATGAGTCAAGTGAAATACTGTATAAATTGGAGACAAGTAAGTGTCAGACCCTCCACCAGAAAATTTACATAGTCAAACTTTACAAAAAAAAGCAAACACAACTTTTAGACTACAAATCAACATTTTAGAGACTCACCAGTTCTGTTCTGAGCCAGGCCAGGGCGCTCTCGATATCCAGCCTGCCCTCTCCTCGCCCCGCTGTGCACCCCGCTCGGAAGCACTCTGCCCTGGGTGCCACGTCCAGCCTCAGCCCCCCTGTCACCACGGCTCCAGATCTGCACTCAAACTGTGAACTCTTAGAGGAGAAATCCCTGAGTCTGTTTAGTACCACTTCCATCATTATCAATATTTAGTTTAGTCAAGTTAAAAGGCGGCCGTGTGGAAAGCTACAGCCTTGTCTCCAATGATCTACAACTTATGAGCTAGTTGGGACGATTTCTCGGTTTTAAACAGCTCCTCGTCCCCTCCTTTTTTACTTTCAAATGCTTTTTTAGTGAAAGAGGGCTCTAGTTGACGTCAGCGCATTGTGTAGATGCCTGGATGACCTCAGCTTGTTTACCACTTTAGGCATTTTTATCACTCAAACACATGGGATCGTTGTAAAAGAGGGAAAAGAGAAGGAGAGGAGGAGGATAGAGACAGAGAGAGAGAGGGAGGAGGAGGTGGAGGGGGTTGCCAATGGAAACGGGATGTGTATCTTTCAAAAACAGAAATGTTCCGGACAAAAGGACAAGTGAATGAATGGGAACACCAGGACTAATAGTTGTTCTCACATATTGTTATTTTGCAGCTGATGTAATCAATATTCCTTTGGGGTGTGATGCTAACTAAAGGTCTAACTAAGTCAAAAGCTCTGAAAGACTTTAATCTAATCTTTGTTTTAACACACTCTGTCCAGAAAGAGCAGAGTTAGTTGGAAAGACAGCAGGTAAAATGAGTCTGTCACACATAAAATTAGTAAGAAGCAAAAAGTTTTTCCAGTCACTCTCACCTTTTTGTTTGAAAATAAACAGAACCATGAGTGCTTAAAAATGTGCGCTTAATGTGTTGTCTATTTTATTTTATTTTTTGGCAGTGTTTGCTAATGTGTGTATTGTGTCAACATGGTGACTGTTGAACATTTCACCAAAGAAATACATGTAGAACACCCCCAGCGTTATCACTATCAGTAAATTTAAACTACTTTTTCCCTTGTATATAAAGGCTTTATGCCACAAAGTTTAAGGTTTTATGCCCTAACTCTTTAAGTTAAAGGTGAATTGCACACATTTCTGATGTTGAATCATATTGTGAATTGGTGAATTGTACCTATTTGTGTTTCACAGTATGCCATTAAACTTATCTTTCTCTATGCACGTTTGAGTAAAGGTCTGATTATGTTTCTTTAATACTCGTTCTACCCCTGTCATCATATTTGTAATTAATTTACACTTCTTATATTATGCAAAATTACTTGCTAGTTATATCCAAATGATTATAGTAAAGGCGAATGGAGTTTAAAAACACAGTGGGGCACTTCCTGTATTACCACATGGACATCACAAGGTGGAACAAAGTGAAGTGTTTTAAAGAAGAGCTCAGCCTAAATATGCAGGATTTGTGTGTTAAAAATATGAATTAAACAAAAGACACCACAATGTATGTTTGTGATGAGAAAACAAAATTATAAAATAGATCAGAAAATAGTGTGATATGGGCCCTTTAAGTCATTTTGCCACTCCATGTGTGGAAACGAGTTGGGCATCTGTCTCGATTCTCCAGTGTCTGTGTCAGGACAGTGTGGACAGCCAAGTGTAACTAAACTCTCTCTCATGCCTGCTCCCCTCCTGCCCCGGCCCCTAGCAACACCACTGTCCCGGAGCCATTCACCGCCACGGGGCCCTGGCATCTGGACTCAAAAGAGCAGACTCCAAAATGAAGCCTGCACACACACAAGAGCTGGAAAGAAATGGAAGCTATTTTTAGACACTTTTGGAGCTAATTAAGAAAACAGACGTCAGAAGATTCATTGTAAAGCTGTGAAGAGATTCAAATGGAGTTATTGAAGAAAATGCAAACCAAAAAAGAAGCATAAGATTTGAATGGAGGGCTTACAGGGCTGCAACTGATTCACTTGGCGACTGGTCAGCTAGTTCTATGGTAGATTATAAAAAAGATTTTTAACTAAATAAAGGATGAACAAGCGCAATGAGAGATAGCAACCTGGGCCCCCATGAGGCATCGGTGGGGGCAGTTCATCACCACCGGAAGCAGCTTATGAGGAGCCCAGCCTGTGTTACATGATCGTTATATCCACAATGCAATGTGTGTAGCTGTACAGTGCTCATGAACATTTGTGTGATATTGGTCACACATGAGAATGTCTGTGTTTACTAGCGTGTAACAAAAATGTAATTTTTTGTCATGAGTTCTGTATATGTTAGTTCTGTGACTGTAGAACAGTGTGTTGTGTATCACCAGAAAAAGAAGAAATGGAAATTATTTTTATTCCAATTAGAATTTTAACGGCATGAAAAGCACTGAAAGAGAAAGGAACTGTTATAATTAGTGATTAACTTGAAAACTATGAATATTTTACTATACAAATGCATAGAATTATAAATAGATAATATTTTTTCTGAGATTTTGAGGCCACTCCCGTTGCTCTAGCTCAATCCTTTGCGGAGTTATGACCAAAAACGCATAGTTGACCTTGGTTACCTTGACCTTCAAGTGACCTGGACCGGTTTCAACCTGCAACATCCAGTGTTCCCGGTTATGTGTGTGCCAACTTGTGTGATGATTGGGTGAATATTTTAGACTGCAGATGGTTCAGAAATTACTGAAATTGCCTATCCTTTATAATGGTGTGACCTTTCAATTGACCCGTGTGACCTCAAATGACCTCAGATCATCAGCAAACTTTTTTGCAGTATTGGGCAGGGAGGCTTGATGCACGTACCAAATTTGGTGACAAACAGTCCATAAATGGCGGAATTATCACGGACAGACACACAGACACACACACACACAGACACACAGGGTGAATACAAAACCTAGTCAACCCTTCGGGGACCAGGTAAATATTGTCACATAGGCACACTCTCACTTATGCATGAGCCGTATCATATTTGTAAAAGTTTGAGGAAAATCCAAGATAGTCTGGCTGCAGATCTCCAACCAGCGGGGCCTACCACACAGACCTCCAACAGAATGGCTCTGGCTCCCTTGCCATTTTCATTAGTTTGCTCTATATAAGTTATTTTTTACATTTAATTGCAGTTTTAAAGACCACTATAAATTGTTTTAAACTAACTAATAAGGTTTTTCACATTTGAAGACAGAAAAGTAGCCTATAGTACCTCTAAGGATGAGGTAGGCTGAGGTATGGTGCCATAGGGAAATTTGCTCCCAGTATTTGGCGCATCCTTCAGAGCCATCATCAGGAGCAGTAAAAATTTGACCACAAGTTAGCGTGCACACTTGGAACCAGAACAAGCAGGGGGTATTATAGTTACATGCATCACACTCTGCAGAAATGTTTACTCTGCATTTGTTAGTTACGCCTTGAAATTTAGTAAAAGTAGTACGAGACTCGGATCCTGAACACTCCTGCAATGCTTAAAAAAGATCTGAGTCTGGTCAGTGAATCTCCCTTAGTGCAGATGGAAGTAACGGACAGGTGGATTAGCCAGAGACACACATGGTCAGTCCGTATCAAAACAAATATGGCTGCACTAAACTTTGTGACCTGGTGTTTATGTTGCTATATTGGAGGTCAAACTAGCCATCTGGACCAATGTGTAGTATATGTGTGCAATAAAATTAGAACTGAATAACAATGTTTTTGACCTGTGTTGCAATTGGATGTTCTGTCCCGGCTGATCGCAGAGAGAAGTGGATAGCGGACATAAAAAGAGGGATGGAGTCCACTGAGTACAATCATCTGTGCAGTCAACATTTCATTTCTGGTGAGGGACCATCTCCAAACAAACGAAGAAAGGATTTACAGTAAATGAAATAATAGATACCAACAGAGATTTTTTCTTGTAGGTATGAAGAATGATAACCCTCTTTCAATAGATTACGTCCCATCATTATTCATGTACACCCCATCGCCAGTGAAAGCCAATGCAAAACGTTCAAAGATCTAACATGAAAAAACAGATACTGGAGGTTAGGCACAGAGTGAGTGTTGATTAAACTAACAAAGCGGTCTGTCTGAATTAGATCAGGATCTATTCCACAACCCAGGAGGACGACTTTAGCTTTATACCCTTCTAATGACAGCTGATCTAACGAGCTGGCAATTTCGGACAGTTTTATGTCGTTTGTGCTGGTTAAAGTCACCATGATTATACTGTAAACTGAATAACACCATCCAGATCAACCCCAAACTTGACCTCCAGTATGGCCGCCAAAACATTAAATCACGTGACTGCCATGTCCCACGCAAATCCTCAATAAAAAATACAAGAGATATCAGTCTGGGCTTTCTCTATTGATTCTTGCAGTGGCATCTACATGTAACTCTATTGGCAAAATCAGTTGGCAAAAATCAGTTACCATGGCGCACACAATAGCAAACACTGCCAAAAAAGTTTTAAGATTGTCTGAAAATGGATGTAATCAGTTTTTGCCTTAGTTCGCTATTAAATGTTATAAAAGTTAAATACAATACCTGTATAGTGATGGGACTTTCAGCTCTTTAATGGGATTGGAATTTTTTGGATCCATTTGTGTCAATGAGCTCAAAGTTCAAGAGACTGGCTCTTTGTATATTTATTTAAGACAAAAGCCAATGCGAGATGTTAGTTTATCTACAACATAATTACAGAGATAAATGACCAAGTCTCAGATCTGTGTAAAATTTAAAATGGTTTCAGCTGAGAGTGGTAGTGCGTTTACCCTTTGAAATTAAAGCTAATTTAAATGTTTGCACTAATTAGCGCTTCAAAGATTGTACATTTCATCTCCAATTCATTTCTACAAGTGTCCTACTTAAAGTACCTTTATGTAGTCTCTGATCTACTTTTCTTCCATGGGGAAATTAGCAGTTTAAAACATGTTGTCACAAATATAAAATACTGAATTGTCAACTTGTAGGCTACAATTGCGTAAATACAAATAACAGCCATTTTGTCCGTGAATGTGTTGCCATAGGTCCTGTGTCCAGTTAAGATTAGGAATAAATCTGGGCTTGTATTACACATGATGGCCTCTTGTGAGCTTCTAGCAATTTTATAATTTTACCTCCTCAAACTTACAACATACATGGATTTGTGTTTTGTTTCATTCATACATGTTTCAGTAATCCTGGTTTGTCAGTCTGTCTACAGCTCTAAAACTCAAAATGCTCTGTTTGTAAAAACCATCTGACCTCACAGTGTTCGAATTTGTTCACTCAACAGTAGGTGGATATTTTTTTTAAATTTCACCAATCGCTGCTACTTGGTTGTGACGAATGTAATGCACCGCTAATGGAGCTAACTGGTATATTAACTTCAAGCTTTTCCCAAATCCCGTACGAAGAAGGGCAATAATGTCTTTCCCCTTGATAAAATTCACCAAACATTCTCTTTGTTCTGAATTTAAATCCTCGATCTCGGGAATCGTTGCAACACAGAATGTATGGCTCTTCGCTGATTGGCTGGTGCTGAACTTGCACTTCCAGGGTTTTGATGAACCGTCTAGTGTATTCTGATTCTGGACCTAGTCACTGAAGAGAAATGAAATGGAGTGGAGGCACTAGGTGGCGCTAGCCTGGCTAATTTAATGTTAGTTTTCAAGTTAAAAGCTACTCTCTACTATTAATTCAGTAGAGATTTTCAATTCAAGGACTGAAATTATCTGTTTGATTCTAGTGAAGGTGTACAGATTTTAAAAACACAGTGGAGCACTTCCTGTATAACTACATGATATCCTTGACATCACAAAGTGAAACAGTGAGTTTGTACATTAAAATTGCATCCAGGAAACAGTAGCGGACTTTTTTCATGGCCTCTGTTTGCTGTTGCTCTTTCTTCTTTCTTGGATAATCTGAACAACAAAATAAATATTACATGCCGCGTTCACATTCACAAAGCAAACAGTATTAAGTATTCTTCATTGCCAGGAATTGCCCTTTATCACTGCTAGCAATTTTATTTTATTGCTTTATCTTTATCAGAAACCAGGTTTAGCCTAAGGTTTATTGCAAATAACAACTTTTGACGTTACCTTATATTCAAATGGCTGAAGAACAAAAACAAGACGGTTTATATTTATGGTTTAAGATGATTTAAATGTTCCATATTACGCAAAATTAACTCTTTTGAGCTTCAAACCGTGTTATAATGTTATTACCTCATCAAAAACATACCTGGTGTTTTCAGTTTGAGAGAATAACTCATAGAACAATATGCAGGATTTGTGTGTTAAACGTGTATGAATGAAACAAAACACAACTGCGGGTATGTTTTTGATGAGGAAATATTACATCAATTTGAATGTATCGTAATATGAGCCCTTTAAATTAAACTTTCTTTCAAGCTTTACACCAAGAGCGTTGCGTATTTAAAAGGAAAATCCTCCACTCCAGAACATAATCCTTTCAAATCTCACTGCACTTTTGCGCACGTCTGGACCACGGGGTCTGGAGTGCACGAGGCGGAGCACACGGCACCTCGTAGGCTTTTGTTTTTGAAGAGTGCCGGCTGAAAATGAGAAGAGGGGTGGTGTCTGGCGTGGAGGTTGCTACGATGAGTTTGACACACAGGACGCACCCAATTGGCTAAATTAACGCACGAAACAGCAGAGATTGTACTTGTACGATTTTAATACGAGGTGTCAGCTTGGTCTGAGGTTGTCTCTCGAATTTGGACAGTAGAGGTGGACTTTGCGCACGATGCTGTCACACGGCCTCGGGGCACTGTAAGCAGTGTGCACGCGTTTCTTTGAGAGGATGAGCTGCTACTCAAATCATTCACTCAATTCTAACGAGGGCAGTGTTGGACCAGCAATTTTTCGCAGCCACTCAACAGGTTTTTTATTATTAGTAGTATGTATTTTTATTTGCTTTTTACGTTTTTATAGGCTATAGTTTTTTTCATACCCTAACTGAAGTTTATATTTTGTAGTATACCTTTTATTGTTGGCATCATGTTAAAAAGCAGAAATCCCGAAAAACATCAACTCGTGACCGAAGTGACTGCGAAGAGGAGCTACAACACAGAAAGGTAAACAAACAACATGCAGGTTAAAGAAACGTATTACTGTTAATAAAGATTTGTAAAAGGTTATCCATTTGTTGGTTCGTTGTTTAGGTGAGTTGCTGTTCAATCAGCGGGAAAAATTTTAAGTTACAAAGTTACACAAAATGTACTCTTGTGAGCTTTAAGCCATTTTAGAATGTTATTACATCATCAAAAACATACCCAGAGTTGTTTCATTCACACATGTTTAAGTAATCGTTTATTATTAGTCTGTCTGCATCTACAAAGCTCAAAATGCTCTGTTTCACCTTGTGATGTCATGAAGTGGTAGTTTTCAAGTTAACAGCTACCTTTTATAGTTCAGTAGAGATGGTCAAATCCAGGGCAGAAATTATCAAAAATAATTTTAGAGTAGGTTTATGGAGAAACACTGTGGAGCACTTCATGTATTACCACATGACATCACAAGGTGGAAGAAAGTGTGTTTGAGATAAGAAGTTTATGAAGGTAAAAAAGTTTTATTTACCTGAAATAAAACTTAAATAATAAATTTTCTCTGTTATTTACTTATTTAGACAATATTTTTTACCAGTAGCTATGGAATTCAACAATCCAAGTCTGCTATACATTATATAAGTATATTATAAATCTCTTCTTCTATTTATCATCTTCTTTTTATCTTCTTTCCTTCCTTAGGCGTTCCACAGGGCAAACCTCATTAGAATACTACTGTGAACTGGTTTTAAACCCAGACAAGACCAAATACATGCAACAGACTTTCCTACAACGTTCAGTCTGAGGTTTGATCCCAATTTTTATTTTATTCTCTCAATTGTCCCCACAGTGGAGATGGAGTGGTGGTTCTCGACAAGAACTTGGATGTGAAGCATTGCCATGACAACAGTCGTGCCAAGGAGGACCGCGAGAGGGAGAAGAAAGTGGCGCGAAAGAGGCTCTATGTGGTTTCGCTCATCTGCCTGGTTTTCATGATTGGAGAAATCCTTGGTAAAACACTGCACTGGCAACACATGAGACAAACAGTGAGATATGAGACTGTTCAAGGGACCTAGACTTGCACAAAAGCAGTTGAACAGAGAGAGAGTCTAAATGTCAGTTTTGTTTGTTTTAAATAGTGGAGTTCAATAGTGTTCGCCCACCCCCTGGGGCCAGAAATAAATTTCCCATACATTTTTCTCATAGATTTCTGGGAAAAAAATAATGATATTACAAATTTGAAAGTTTTGAACTCTTAATATTTGCATTTTTAAGTGTACTGGAAAAATTATTAATTTTCTTCTGGAATCAGAGCAGACTTTGAAGTGGACGCGGCTGTTGAACTTCATCGCCCCTGGTAGAAATAACTGGCTATAATATATAACATCAAAATAATGATGTAATAATAGATATTTCAGGTAAATAAAGCTGGTTTACCTTCCTAAAGTAAGAGACGGTGAGTACGCTTGTGTGCAGTGTGCCTTTCTAGTAGGGCTACAATTAATGATTAAGTTGCAATTTGTTACAATCAGTTGACTAGTCAAATATTTTATTTCTATTGTACATTGAGACTTTAAAATGTATTATCAACCAAATAAAGGTTAATTTTAAATGAACAGATTATGAATGGATGTAATAACACTGTCTTTTCATATGTTTTTTAGTTTATATAGTCCAGATAATGATTATAATGATCAAAACATAACTATGATTACTTTTTTATAGTTGACTAATCAAGATTAGTAAAGCCCCGCTTTCTGAGTGTCAAAACCACCTCTAGGATCCATGATGTCTATACATTTAACCTTCTTAGTTCATTTAAGGAGCAGCACGGGGCTTCACCCTGTCAGCTTTGCCTTGGCATGGCCCCACTGATTACAAGCGAGCACAGTGGACACAGACAGTAGCCTACATCAGTGCCACTCTAACTTTTTGCGCCAAGTACCACCTGAGATTAGCTATTAGAGTCCCACTGGATCTAAACATGAACTACATCAGGCATAAATTAAGGGTAAAAGCTGATTCTGGTGTTTAGGATACAGGATTGTTTATGAATATACATTGTGCGAGAACGTGTGCGAGGACAGCGGCAAGGGCGGGCGTGAGGGCAGGCGTAAGGGTGGGTGCGAGCGCGGGTGCGAGCGAAGGGGCAAGGGCAGGGGCAAGTACAGGTGCGAGGGAAGGGGCAAGGGCTGGTTCGAGGACGGGTGTGAGGCAGGTGTGAGCAAAGGGGCGAGGACAAGGGCGAGAACAGGTTCAAGAACAAGGGCTAGGGCAGGTGCGAGGGCGGGGGCGAGCGCGGGGGCGAGGGCAGACTAGAGGCCAGGGGCGGGGCCTGAGGTGAGGACAGGAGCAATAGATCTGAAGGTTTCTCTTGTTTTTATAGGGGGGTATTTTGCGAGCAGTCTGGCGGTGATGACAGACGCAGCTCACTTAATGGTGGATTTGATGAGCTTCATCATCAGCCTTGTGTCTCTGTGGCTCTCTTCTCTACCGGCCACACATAAGCTGAGCTACGGCTGGCACAGAGCGGGTATGTACTACTGATACTTCGCAGTGGATGTCATCAGTGTTCCATGGGTGTGTGATGCTAACTCTAAGCACTGCTCTATCTAAGGTTTGTTAGATCTGGTGAGATGATTTGTGCTCTTAAACAAATCTCACACATAAAATTACAATCACAAGCTAGCTAGCATTAGCCACAGTTTTTTTTTTTTTTTCAGTTTGTCACTCTAACCTTATTGTTGAAAATCCAACACCTAAACAGGACCATGAACGCTCATGTTGATCACAGGCTCCTGAAAATGTGCTGTTTAAATTCATTTTGTATTTTCACACTTTCATACTCTTAAATCTTGTTTGGCAGTGTTTGCTAATGTTTGCATTGTTTCACCATGGTAACATTCCTCCATATAGATGCATGTTGGACACCTCCAGTGTGATGTCACTGCAAAATATCAGTGAGGGTCATTGCTGAGTGATCGGGCATTTTGGATGCAGCAATTTACTGGGAATTACATGTGAATGGGGAACGGGGGAATACTTTAATCTTTAATTTTTTTAATCTCTAAGTTTTTATTCATTTGCTTGTTTATTTGTTTGTTTAACAGGCAGAGCATGCAGCTGAAGCAATGCATATAGAGTGTATAGCAAGTGCTAATTCTCAATGCTCCTGTCCCTGGTGGGGCTTTTCTATACACTAAACCTTTCTAAAGACTCTTTGATTCTTTGTACAGTGAGAGAGGAATTCCATTGTACTTCAGGGAGGACATGTTTGCCAAAGGAAAAATAGTACAATTTTAGAGGGAATTGTGATCATCATGTGATCTGCCTCATTTTATTGTGTATTTTTCGACCACATTTCAATTCAAGTATTTGAGTTGCTTCCAGTTTTATTTATAACAGAAGAACTAGTCAGTTATACAGAGTTTGAACATATTGAACCAACTTCATGAATGTTTTAGTGTAATGTTTTCATATTATATTGGAGATCTACACAAGTAGAGAGCAGTAGGTGTATGTGGATAGAGGTGAAAATGGATATTGATCTTGAAAATAAGTCATTTAAAAATTGCTCAAACATGCACAAATCACTCCCAACCCAACTCTGAGTGGGGAAATGAGAAGAAGAACCAACTACAACATGGTTAAAAACTCTGAAAAGTTTGTTTTGTATAAAAGATCTGTTTGCTAACTCTATTAAAATGACATAATTGCTTCATTTTTGTCCATGTTTAGTGCTGTACCTATTATATCATATTATATTTTTTCTTTATTTATTTTCTATAGAGATCCTTGGAGCACTTCTGTCTGTTTTCACCATCTGGCTGGTCACTGGTGTACTGGTTTATCTGGCAGTGCAGCGACTGATCAGTAATGACTACACCATTGAAGGCACCATCATGCTGATAACCTCTGGGTGTGCTGTCCTGGCAAATATCATGTAAGTCAAATATTATAATGATTTTGAATTTAAGCTACTCCAGCACTACTTTATTAATATGAGAAAAATAAGTTCCTGATCTATATTATAATGTTGTTTCCTCGTCACAGACATATGTGGAGTTGTGTTTTATTCACACATGTTTAACACACAAATCCTGCAAATTTAGGCTGAGTTTTTCTCTCAAACACAAAACGCTCTGTTCCGCCTTGTGATGTCATGTAGTTAAACAGGAAGTGCTCCATAAATTCCATAAACCTTCACTAGAAGCATTTGGATGATTTCAGCCCTTGAATTGCCTATTTCAACTGAACTAACTAGATAAAAGTTAAACTACCAATTCATGACCTCACAAGGTGCAAAAGAACATTTTAAGCTTTGGAGATTTTTGGAGTAGACAGTGTAATATGCAGCATTACTCAAACATGTGTAAATGAAACAAAACATAACTCCAGGTATGTTTTTGATGAGGTAACATGGCTTAAAGCTCACAAGAGTCAATTTCTTGTAATATGGGACCTTTTAAACTTCTTAATCCTTTGAGTCATATTTTCTGGGAAATAGAAATTATAAATATTTCATGCTCTGCTACATCTACACTCCCTATTTTTAATAGTTTGATTTATATATTCATGTATATTCGGATCCAGACTTAAAATTTTAAAATGTATAAAAAAAAAACCCCAAACAAACCAAAAATGAATAATATTGTTATAGTTATAAAAAGATACAGTTATATCACAATAAATTGAGCTGCTATAGAATACAAAGTCTTAAAAATAAACCCATATTTTACTTGTTCATGAATGGGCTATGGTCAAATTCTCATAAGGCTTGAGTAATTTTTTCCATACCATACCACTTGAGGTTTTAGAGGCTTTACTGTTAATTACCACAAATAATTGTTGCATTAAATTGCAGTAAATTAGTTAATGCCCATTAAATGCATATTTCATGTCATCAGTACATCAGTGTTGCCATGTTTGCTTTGGTTTGTATGGTAGGGTGACCGTATTTCCCTTTGTGAAAACCCGGACACCTTACCGGGGGTAGGGGGTGGGGCCTCGACAGTGAGCTACTCTCGCCTCGCAACCTGTGCACATGGCCTCCGACTTGTCCCGACTGGGACGGAAAACGGAGAATTTCTTGTACAAGTCATTGTTAAATGCGCATTTTCGCTTCGGCAAGTTGCAGACTGACAGATTGTTTGTGTCTGCTCGCTCCTTCTGAGTGCACATAGAGCTACGAGAGACGCTCAATTTAATGGCCCCAATGAACGGTAATGAAAACCTGGACATTTCCATCACTTTATGAAAAAAAAACCCGGACGCTCAGGACAGGATGCAAAAAACGGACATGAAAAACTAATGTTTGGTCACCCTATTGTATGGGCACTTGGCTTGTGGCTTCAGCACAAACCTCATACTGCTCTGTGATTGGTCCGCCCAACTCATTATAGCGCGAGTCTCTGAAGATTAATTCTTGAGAGTTTGTGAACTAAAATATTGCGAGAATTCATCTTGTTTTGCAAGGTTCTAAAATTGCCTGTCTTTATAGAATGGCTTTGACGCTGCACCAGTCAGGACACGGCCACAGTCATGGAGGTCTGAGCTCTCATGGACACGGACATGGACACAGCAACGGCCCTAAATCCAACCAAGAACCAGATCTGGAACAAAACCATGACCAGGGTGAGTCCAATGGAGAGATGGACATTCTGTGGTGGGATGTTCAACAGTTACCATGGTAACACAATGAACGCTAACAAAGGCCATGTCCACTAGTACGTATTCGAGTCGTTTTCATTGTGGATGCAGTGTTCTTCCCCACTAATCCGCTTGAAAACGGCTCCAGAGACAGAATGATCTGGTGCCGCCATATCCCACAAATTCATTTGAGTACGGATCTGATCCGGCACTGTGTGGACGCCTGAAAACGCCGATACGCTGATACACTAATGTAGTTCTATGCACCACGAAAACGCTAAGAAGCTAGAATATATGTCCATTCATATAAACGGTCTATGCATATGATCGTATACATATAATCCGACCGTATAATCTCTGAAAAGTTTAACATGAACCATTTCCGACACAATAGAAGAACAGAACAAACGCCCCTCTGGCACAGAAAGAACACAGAAAGTTCAAGTTGTACCTGTCAAAAATGTCCAGGGGCCAATGTTGTATTTTGCATGATGTCGCCATGGCAATCCCTGGAAGCACCCATGTTTTCCTGTGTTAGCATGTCAACACTTCCAGTGTGTGTTTATTTCTGTCAATTTAGTATAAGTACAAATACAGCCCAAAGCCACAATAACACAGAGACAAGTGGCACATCAGCGCCATCCTGAAGGAGTGGCGGGTAAGGCCGAGTGCGTGGCCTGTGAGGCCTGTTTGATTGCGCTTGCGGCTTTCATCTTTTGTACTTGTTTTTGTACTTTCTCTTGTCAAATTATAACTAATATGTAAATTAGAAGTGTTGGTTCTTGTTTACAGTACTGTTGCCAGATAACATGGAATTACGTGTACATCAGCTGCCCATGTTTAACCAGGAAGTAAAATTACAAACTTTTATCAAATGGTCAAACTAGTCATAATTAGGCTTTTTTTTATTTTTTTATTTTTTTTTATTTAGCAAAACAGAGTAAACATGATTAAATTCCTTGTTTATTATTAAGCTAAGTTACAAGTTTGTGATGCATGTATGTGATATGGCTGGCTTTAACTGCCTAAATCAATTTTTTGCCTTTTCCAGTCTCATTCTACTCCCCAGATTCTACTGCATTTCTAGGTGTCATGGCTCCATCTAGTGGTGAACGAAGTACACAATTTTCTTATTTAATAAAAGTAATGGTACAGGGGTAAGAAAAATACTCTAGTAAAACATATACATAAGTAAAAATATTGAAATGTGAGACTACAACAGCCAGCCTAATTACCAATGGTAGCTTTAAAGTGTTAAATATAGTGTTATTGATAAAGAATTAGGAGAGTGATTTGTATTCCTACTATTGTCCAAAATCAGCCTAAGTCTTCTAGGTATTAATTTTTTTTGTATATGTTTTTTCAAAACCTTTTAGGATGTTAAATGTGCTACAAAAAAATAACTTCTCAAATCATACAGATACGTTTAAATATTCAATCCAGTTTAAAAATTCAGTGGAGTGGAAAGTACAGATACCTTACCTTAAATGTAGAGAAGTAAAAGTACAAAGCATCCACTGTAAATGTTTATATTATGCAAAATTTTATCTTGTGAGCTTTTAGCCATGAGAGAAAGGTTTTTGAGGAGGTAACAACAATCTGGAGTTCTGTTTTGTTTCATTCACACAGGTTTTATTATTAGTCTGTCTGCATCTCCAAAGCTCAAAATGCTCTGTTGCGTTGTCATGAAGTGGTAGTTTCCAAGTTAACAGCTACCTTTCAGTCATCTTACCAACACAATTTATTTTTTTATGTTTTTTATTTTATTTTATTTTTATTTTTTTTGCAATTTAAACCTTAGAAAATAACTTGAATTATTATGCTACAAGGCTAACAATATGAGGATTGGATTTTCTTGTATTTTTTGTTTATTTTGGCCTTGTTTTGCCTCCAGGACACAGGGCTCAACAGGCCAATGCCAGCGTGAGAGCCGCCTTTGTTCATGTTGTTGGGGACCTGCTCCAGAGCCTCAGTGTGCTGGTCAGCGCCATCATCATCTTTTTTAAGGTGAGAGGAGCACTTGACTGAGAGGGAGGGAAAATATTATAGCCTTGTATTATAGGCTACATCTTGTTGAAAAGAGCATGGCACGTGTAACAGTTTCAAATATTTTAAAGCTGATGTTATAGTTGTTTCCCTTCACTATTTACTCACTGTACTGTATTTGATTCATACATGTATAAACAATCTTTAATAGCTCATTTTTGCCAATCAATTCCCGTTTTCGTCGCCACAAGTATATGCCCTCTGCTCTGTACTTACTTTGTTCTTCAGTTTTATATCCTTAATCTGTGATACGTTTAGGATTCAAATGAAAAAGAATCTGCAGCTCACTAGCATAATCTGATGTGCCAACAACTTCATGTCTCTTTATTGTGATGACATTTTCGGTGTTATCAGTTCCCATTGGGAACTGTAGTTTTTTAACGCGGACGTCAGCGGACTTGCTATTTTAGATGATATATGTATATGTATATACATGTATATATGATCAAAATATCAATACAGATGTTAGAGTGACCATTTTAACTTAACACTGCCTTAGATTGGAAGCCATGCCAAGATGACACTGTTGCTGTGTGGTGAATTGATAAATAATGATATTTAAATTACTGAACTATAAATGCAATGGATAATTATTATTCCTCCAGTGTACACTGTATGCTTTAAACTAACATAATGACCCAATGACTTTTTGTTGTGTATTTTTCAGCCTGAATACAAGATCGCTGACCCTATCTGCACTTTTATCTTCTCCATATTGGTTTTATGCACCACATTCACAATCATTAAAGACATTGTGGTTGTGCTAATGGAAGGTAAGATGTTCCTCAAATATAAACATTTGAAACGGTAAAGTACATTATTTAGTTAATGAACTGTGTGTCTCTAGGTACTCCGGGAGGGGTGCAGTACAGTGAAGTGAGGGACCGCCTGCTGGCTGTGAAGGGCGTTACAGCTGTACATAACATGCGCATCTGGGCCCTGACCATGAACCAGGTTCTGCTCACTGCACATGTGGCTATAGGTGAGAGTAATGATATGAGTTACGATTGTTCATTAGCAACTGTGAAAAAGAAATGGCTAGAAAGAGCGTTCTGCCTGTATGTTTATGACAGAATGTTCATCAGTAACTATGGTAAGACAATGCTCACAAAACCTAAAACTGCCAAATAGGTTTTAAGGTCCAAGTCTGAAAACTCACAGACAATAGAAAATGAATTTAAACAACACATTTTCAGGAGCCTGTGATCAATATGAGTCAATAACTTTTTTTTTTTTTTTTTTTTGAGACATCCCCCATTACATTTCTTGCATGTTCATTATAATGAGCTGTTAGGATTTTAAGCCTTTTATACTTGTCTTTTTTCACAGATGAAACTGTAGACGCTCAGTCGGTTTTGAGAGAAATGACGCAGGCTTGTTACTCTACGTACAACTTCCACTCTATCACAATTCAGATGGAGAGACAAGCTGACCTCAAACCAGACTGCACACTTTGTGAAGACCCCAAAAAGTAGATTTAAATAACCCGTCCACATGTATATGACAATCTCTATTTTAAAACTTGAATTAATCTTAAATCATATATTGTATATCATGTAAATATGGTTGGGTGATATTACCAAAAACATATATGGATCAATTTCATTTTTCCATTTTATTTTGTCCTATTAAAAATGAATAAAAATGACTTTCAAAATATAAATATAATTTTCTGAACACAAACAATATACATTTACCACAATATATTCAAATTTCTTTTACCAAACTTTGAACAAACGCTTTTATTGACAGAGGATTGGCTGTGGGCCTGCTGATTAAAAATAAATATTGTCTATTAAAGGTCCTATATTATGCAAAATTGACTCTTGTGAGCTTTTAGTCATGTTAGAATGTTGCTACATTAATACACATAATCCTCAAAAACATACCTGGACTTGTGTTTTGTTTGTGTCTGTATCTCCAAAGTTCAAAATGCTCTGTAACATCTTGTGATGTCATGAAGCAATAGTTTTCACGTTAGCAGCTTCCTTTTATCTTTAGTTCACTAGAGATTGATAATTCCATGTCTGAAATGATCCAAATGACTCCAGTGAAAGTGTGTGGAGTTTGGAACAGAGTGTTTTCCATCCAAGTATGTTTTTGATGAGAAAATAATATTATAACATGTATCAGAAAATGGCATTATATGGGCCATTTAACGTTTTATTGCCTATTAAAATGTGTTAAATATTGTAGCAAAACCACACAAAACAAAACCAATAGTGCTAGCCAGTATACTAATAGGTGTGAGATCACCCATTAGGGGCCCAACCATGATGCAAAATGACTCAGGGACATATTGTGTAGTTCAGTAGACCTAGCTAACAAATGGTAAGAAACGATAAGTAAATCAATCTTTTTTGTCTCAGTGTAGTTGACTTCTCCCTTCAGACAGGTATAAAGCAGTGACGCATCAGAAAATTTACCAGAACTTAAGAAGTTGTTGTCTGTTTCACCATTTATAAGCAAAACTTGAGAAAAACGTGTTTTTATCTAACTTAATTTTTACATGATCACAACATTTTAGAAACATTTCGATTTGGTTTTTGGGGTGAACCGCAGCACAGAGATTACCAGTGATTTTATGATTTTAGAGTACATTCTGCCTCTGCTTTTGACACAGTAGACCACACTATTCTTATGACTCACCTGAAACTCCTCGGCCTCACTGGTGCTGCTCACAGATGGTTCACATCCTATCTCACAGATGGATCATTTATATTGAGTGTAGACATGTCCTCCTCCCAGGTCCGTAAAATCACATGTGGTGTGCCCCAGGGTGCCTCTGTGTTTTTTTACTTGTACATGCTCCCTTTTGGTGGTGTTACCTTCCACGCCTCTGCAGGTGACACGCAGCTTTACATCTCCATGTCTCCTGAAGACACCAGGCCAATGGATACTCTTTTTAACGGCATTTTAGATATCAAATCCTGAATGGCAGAAAACATTCCCCAGCTTAACCAGGACAAAACTGAGGTTTTAGTCATTGGTTCTGAGGCCCAGAGAGAGAATCCCAAACTACAAGCACAACATTTTAATCCATTACAAGTGAAAATGTGGGCATAATTTTTTACTCTGAGTGACCTGGTTAGTCTGTACTTTGCTTCATGATTTACTGTATGTGCATAGCCTCATGTATTTAAGAGTGCTAGCATGTTTGTGTGCGTGTTTGTGGGTGAGATTGTGGTGGTTGTAGGGGTAGGGTGGTTAGGTGGAAGGACATGTGGGATTTTTTTAATGGCTGCAAAGCACTTTGTGTTACATTTTTGTATGACAAGTGCTTTATAAATAAAGTTTTATATTTACTGGACTTGTATATCAGTGTTAATTCTGAAAAAAAAGGCAACAAAATTAACCTACCCCTTTAAATCTGTATTCTTTCAAATTCACAATAATTCACAATTCTATGTTACGTCCTGCTAGTACCATGTAAATTCACTGACATGACAACATTTCATGAAGCCATTACATAAAATGGAGGTGGGAGCAGGCAGAATTTTTGCTTAATTATTACACATATTTACAAGAAACAAACACACATGTTTTACACCATCTTCTATTCAAGCACAATTGAACTAAGAAAAATTATTTTTTATTCTGGTGATGCAAAATTCTCTGGATTGCTATCAGTTGAAAAGGGTTAATCCCACAAAATCTATGCCACATTTATTACTTTATGATGAGGTTCATTTGGATATTGTATTCAAAAACTGTGAAATTGTCCACCTGGATGTCCAATTATGACATTTAGAAAACCATCTTTTTAGTTTTTTTTTTTTTTTTAAAACTCTTGTTAACTTTAGCAGAATAATTACTGCATTTTTGGATTTCAATTTCAGACCAGGGAAAAACCTATTACTTATCCCCATTTGTAAAGCTCATTTATTTCCTGTCGAAAACACAAGACTGATTCATTATTGTGGATCTTGTTTCCTATCTCCGGCCTAGCAGCTGGAGAGAAGAAGTCATTTTCCTGCTAGCTAACCGGATATCCCTGTCCAATTAGGAAGTGATGGACAGTGGAGCAGACTTCTCAGTGTCCAAATCACTGTTGCTCTATCCTGACATAACTTTCCTGGAATGCATCACAGTATGGCATTAAATGTGTCTGTCTAACATTTATTTCACTGCTTATAGTGTTTATAAATCCCTTGCATTCTTACTGTGATCAAGGTTGCCTCTCCACAGATCTGACTTGGTGCTGTCACACGCTTGTCTCCATAGAGCTAGATCTCCAAGTCACTGAATTTGATCAAATTAATCAAATGATTTACTTACAAATACTTACAGATAGTAGTATGCTTGTAGTAGTAGTAATAGGACGTGATCTATTCATTTTGCGAGTTACTTTTATATTGGCTTCAGTAGCTCAAAAACTTCACTTAATTTTGAATGAGACACAGTAGTAAGACATAACTTCAGGCTTTTATTACCTTACTATGTAGAGGATAAAAGTGCAATTGAATGTCAAACTACTACCCAAATTTTTAATGAATAGTGAAATTAGGAAATGGACAGCTAAACCCTGCAGGCGAAGCTCTTCTTTTCCAATTCAAGTGCAGTCACAGTGGCTGGCCATATGCTGAGGAGGCAGGCTGAAAACCTAACACTGTCCTTTTTTGACATCTCATGTATTTAAAACTCATTTGAATTTAGATAGCTTGCAAAACTAACCCAAGCACCGCCGCATACAAAAAATAATGGGTGGCTGAATGCATGGGATGATTAAATTAGAGAATGTATTGCCTCTCCGTTTATGGGAATTTGAATTATATGCTTACTAAATAACTTATAATGATGCATGAGAAGCAATCAAGTGGTGTAAATTGGCCTGGGGCTTATCTGTGGACGTGTTTTCAAAGTAGAACACAAGATGGCGGTGTGGTATTAAGATTTAAGCCGTGTATTTTTCTTCTTCCTCTTTTTTTCCATGAGGTATGAAAATATATTGAAAAACCAATTATAGCACAGTAAAATTATGCTACTATGATTAGATCAAATATATACAATCTTAGTATGAAGAAATATTCAACTAAACAGGCTAATAAAGCTGTTGTAAGGTTTATTTCTTTACTTGCATATCAAAACCTCGCGATGTTTCGGGTGACGTCTCGCGATACCTGTAGCAGCTGAGCCCTGTGGAGCAGAGCCGAAGCATGACATGTCCACTAAAAAGATAAATTATCGCCGCAAAGGTAACATTAAACGCGTACTAATTTAACACAGATGAAATGCGAACTCTTTGATAGCTTGTTATGAAATATCTTGCCTGTAAATTAAGACAAAAGTAGGAACGAAAAGAAAGTCGTATGATGTTGACAGTTCACTTAGCTTTGATGACAGCTGCACACATGTTAGCAATGTTTTCTGTTTCTATGTATCTACATGTTTATTAGAGCTTGATCAGGCTATTTATGCATTTGAATAGTTTTGCGGCCAGTTTTATTACCGCAAAGAGTCATATTAAAGCGTAGTAAGGTAGTGCCATACCTTATTTTGCAACTATTAAGTTCAGTTTTGATTTAGAACTTTCTAAGTAAATCAGGTGGCAGCTTTAAATATAAAATCTTTTGCATAAACGCCTGATTTCCTCTGAGTGCCCTCAAAGCATATCCTTATGCACCATTTGTTATAATATTTTCACTCTTATTTATAATTTTTTATTAATTTTATACAAAAACACCCCCATTTGTCTGGTTATCAAGTATACCAATTAAGAAATGGTGGAGTAGTAACATTAGCAGGACTATGTTGTCTTTTAACAGCTGCTAGTGTATTAATGTGGGAAATTACAAAACAATTTTTACTCAGCTGTTCGTGTCAAAGTACATATTTAGAGACTTTTAAATTAAATTAGATTTTAAATATGATCTTAATCAGTGTCTTTAGAAGTAAGTAAAGAATAATTAGCTCAAAATTCTAATAGAGGTATCACTTTTGAACTTGTAGGGAAACTTTCATGATCTGCTTTTGTCTTTTTAAAGGCATGTAAGGTGGTGAAATTTTGAGCTCCATCCATCCTTGCCCTGTCTCCACCTTGTCTCCATGGCGACCCCTCCACTGGCCCCGCCCTTTGTGGGACAGCCTCCTCCACTGCCCCAGGCTCAGGCGGCAAGGGATGTCAACACTGCGTCCCTCTGTCGCATTGGCCAGGAGACAGTCCAAGACATTGTACTGAGAACCATGGAGATCTTTCAACTGCTCAGGAACATGCAGGTGATTGCCACAGAGCCATATCAAACAGGGACTAATTAGCAGTAGTGCTACAACCTGGTCCAATTCATCTCCCCTGTTAAAGCCAATGTATACTAGGCTAGCATTGTCCCTCTCGCATTAAATAAATAAACAGAAATTATGAGCGATCTTAAAATTATGAACAATGTTAAAAAATAAAAAATGTATATTTTAAAAATATACATTTTTCATCAGAATTTAGGCTGAAAGTAATTATTAACCAGTCAGTGACCATTGTCTTCAATTAGTTGATCAGACAGATGATACATTCTGTTGCGTCATCAAGTTTTTTTTTTATTAAAAAACCCCAAAACATTTTATCAAGATTGCTGCGCAATAGGCTGACTGTAACTGAAGACCTTGTGCTGAAAATTTGTATAACTAAAAAGCACTTAAAATCACATCATTGTATATAGTCTAGATTGTGATTGTCTTTAACATATTTCCAATAATTGTTTTGTCACTATTAATCGGATTGTAGCAGCTCTATTCAGAAAAACCTTCCTTTTCTTATACTTAAATTTGTTATTACAGGGAAAGAGCAAGATTTTTAGTAGGATACATTTGGTTGAGGAAATAATATAGGAGTCATATTACTACTAATTCGTGCCATAAACCGCTCTCATTTAGTTATTTAATCTTAACTGTTGTTTTTGAGCTTCAGTTCAGTTCAGGTTGTGTCCTCAGCTCAAAGCCCAGAGTTCACAGACACTGTTTTCACAGATGCTATTGTTTGGGCTTGTTCTTTTCAATCATTCCTTTTACATCTTGATTCTTACAAAAATTCTTTCTTTATTGTGCGTCTCTTGCCTTGCTGTGTCTTTGTGTGTCCCTGTTTGCACACAGCCCTGAAGGCACTTGTTTTATGTTATGTCTGATATTGGTGAGCAGACAGACATCGTTTCAAATAAAAAACATCCTTGAATACTTTTAGTGGTTTAACACAGCAATAACGGGGAAAGTGGAGATATAAACTGTAGGACTATTTAAAGATGGGGTATAATAAAGTGTTTTTATTAGCTTTCTACCCTATTATAATGTTGCTCCCTCATCAAAAATATGCGTAAAGAGGTTTTTGTCATCATCCATGGATGTTTGAGTATTTTCGTGATCACTCCTGGACCCTATCCGAGCTCTCCTTACAGTTACCGATAAGGTTCAGTGCAATGCTCATCCCACAAGCCTACATCATCCATGCTCTCATAGATCAATTCTACATAAAAAATACAAAAAACATGATACAAAACTGTACACAACTATTGATTGTGATTATACTGTGATAGTGCTATGAAGGGGGAGTGACTTAACATGGAGAGCAAAGGGAGAGGAGACTCAGAGCATCAAAAACCAAAGTGAAGTTTGTTTTGTTGTATTTATCTCATTATGTCTATGTGGCGTCCCCTAGCTTCCAAATGGAGTGACGTACAATCCCAACACTCACCAGGATCGACTGGGAAAACTGCAGGAACACCTCCGCATGCTCTCCGTGCTCTTCAGGAAGCTCAGACTCGTGTTTGACAAATGCAACGAAAACTGTGCCGGCCTTGACCCAATACCCCCGGAGGTAAGAGAATCATTTTGGTTCAACTGGTTGAGTTGACTGGGCTAGAATTTGATTATTTCAGCTAGAGGGCATGTGCCTATATAACTCTATGGGAGATTTATTGTTTTTAATCTTATGGCTCTTAAGTCTTTTCAACTAACAACAATCACATCTTTGAGGGTGAATAATGGTGATTAATAATTATTAGGGTAATGTGGAATATAATTATTTAAAAACAGTAAATTATATTGGCCCTTTGTGTGAACTCTTTTGGCAGGAGTTTGGCCAAAACAAAATATCGGCCTATGCTGGAAATTTAAGGCCAATAACCAATATGCTAAAAAGTGCAAATATTGGCCAACTAATATATTAGTCTATCTCTAATTGTACCTGACTCAACGAAAATGAAGATTTTTTGGCTAATGTCTATTTGGTTATACCAGTTTGGGTGTAGTTGCTTGGCCTTGGATAGCCTTGACTAGGGGGTATGATGCAATTTTTTTTTTAGCTTTTCCTACCCTTTTATAGTGTTGTTTCCTCATCAAAAACATGCCTGAAGAGGTTTCAGATGTCATCCATGCATGTTTCAACATTTTAGCAATCTCCTGGCCCTATTCGAACCCTCCTTATGGTTAGCTGTGAGATTCTGTGAAATGCTCAGCCCGCAAGTCTACGTCATCCATGTTCTCACACGACAATTCTGTATAAATATACAAAAACATGATACAAAACTGTACACAACTTGTCAAAGTGATGGGATGTACAGTAATTTCATTAGCAAGATGCACGCTGATTATGTAAACTACAGCTACAAGTACAGCTTTAAAATCGACTCGAAATTACAATTATCCCCTAAAATCTACTGAAATAGACCGTGAATGGTTGGAAAATGAAATTGTACATATTATTGCATTATAACAAATTCTTAATAATCCCCACAAACGAATTGGTATTAAGTCTTCCTGAGTATTTCATGGTCCAGTGATTGCACGTGGTTGAAGTCTACAGTGTGTCAATTTGAAACAAGCTGCTGGTACATTTGAAGTGCTCTGTCATGGAGATGTGACAATGTCCCTGTACAACCTGTTTAAACAACAAGAACTAATACTAACTGCTAACTGTCAGACCAGCAAAGAGCAGAGATGGCTAAAGTTTGATAGTACTTTGAAGGGGAAGTGATGGGAGGAAGGGGAGGGCAGACTTGGAGCGACATGATGAAAGTGAAAAAATATATATGTTAATATTTTTCAGTGAATATAGCATTTCTCCAAATATGTGTTAGCAGTTAATATCCCATAGAAGTTCAATACCCCCTCTTTAAGTGACTCACCACTAACGATAACAATAAATAATTCATTCAAATTTTTAGAACTTTGAAAATTATTCCCTGACCTGTAAACACTTTAACCCAGTTTTCCCCAATGTTGCTGCTTCTAATTTAAAACGTGGAGTTGTTCATTCAAAGTAAATAGGACATCACAAAACAGTGCTAATCTCTGGGGGACACTTATTCCACAGCCTGCTTCCCCGAGTGTGCCTTATAGCCTGCCTCCTGTGTGCCTTTACCCCTGGTTACGGTCAACATCCACCTCCAGCGAAAACAAACATTATTTCGTGCAGTGTAGCGTGTCGCACAAAGGTGTTTTAGGTCCATAGACGCACACAGACTGTTTCTCTGTGGGCTAGCGCTGTACTGACACTTTCTGCACCCCTGTTTCATTGGATTTATGACTGCAGCAGAGTCCCTTTCCCAATTTCCACAGATTGGCTTGCAGCTAATCTCTCTCGCCAGACTTGGACGCAGGATAAAGCAGAGAGTGGGAGGAGAAGGGCCTTAAATTGGAACAAATTAGTGAAGGCTGCCACCGCGTTGATCTCATTCACTAATAAAGTTGGTCTGAAGTGCTTTTAGAAGATACACAGGCTATAAATGAGTCAGTGTTTATCAAAGTTTGCGGCAGCACTTTTTGTCTGAACCAAAGAGGATTGCAATTCATTTTGTGAGTTTCTTCTGATGTAGCAAAACTTTTAGTCAACAAACAGCCCTTTATTATTGGCATTGCTTTGTAGATTATGAAGTGTGTTTAGATTCCTATGCAACAGAATGTACTTGAAGCCAATTACTTTAATACAGTTGGTCTCTCAAACCAATTTACTTCTGTCCTTTTTGTTTTTTGATGTAAAAAGACTGGATTCAGTTATAACCCATACAACACAATGTTTTAATATAAATGCATATTATGATGGGGCTCCGTTTAGCTCAGAAGGTATAGCATTTGCCCATAAAACTAAAGATCAGATCAAAGGTGAAATTGGGACAAAATTCACCTTTTCTGAATAGTTTTAGAATCGTCTTTGTCCTTATCAGAACTTCTATAAGACCAAGCAGTAGTATTAAATAAACTAATATTTTGTGTTGAAAGTTACCTTCTCTTCATATTAGTATCAAAATCAAATTTGAAATGTTAGTATCATGGCAACTCTTGGGCAGATGGTCTATAGGTGCAGATTGGCAGCCATGGTTTAGTCAGTCTGTCCCCAAGGCACCTGTGGCTACAGAAAAAGTAGTAGTAGAAGCAGTAGGGGCGGTTTCTAGCTCTCACAGATTAATGCTGTCATTGTGTCCTTGGGCAATACACTTAAGACACACTTGCCCCCAGTGTCTGCGTACACTTGTGTGTGAATGTGTGTGTGACTGAACGTTTCCTTGATGTAGTGCTGTAATGTCATTTTTTATCATTTTAATATAGTAGTCTAGTCACTAACAAAAATGATCAGGCTCAACATTTTACTACAACACTGATGTCCCCAGCCACCTCTCAACATTATATCATTACTAATATATTTTTGTCATCCATTACCTCTATATTTCCAGGTTCCATTTCTCCCTCTCATCTAACCCACTGTTACGACGCCCATAGCTGTGTGTTGATGGTTGCTATTGTTGGAGTTTCTTTTTGGCCATAGTCTGCAGTCCCATCCATCATCGCGGTGCATTCAGGTGCCTCTCTGACAGCCGCGCGCTATTGGCCGCTCCGAACAGGAAGTGAATCAATGGCTCGAGCAGCGTGACCTCATGGCTGCCTAATTAGCAACAGAGGCGTTTAATGAACATCTGGAGCAAGCGCACACGTCAGCGCTCCTTTTACAGCTGCTGCAGCACTTTCTTGGCCTAAGCCTCGTTTTTAATGTTCTTCTTTTTGTGCACTGTTCCACTTCCATTTCACAAACATTATCAGTGTTCCCTCCGGCCCCTGAGGCTTGCATTGGCGATGCTGGTAGTTTAATGAGTATTTGTGGAAATTGTGTAAAATAATAGACCTACTTATTATTATCTAAGCTCAATTAGCACACATTTCACAATAATCAAACAGTATAATATATAATATTTACACATATGCACACAACATATAAGGCAAGTTAGAAATTATATAGATACAATTCCTATACTATGTAAAATTGACTCTTTTGAGGTTTAAGACATGTTATAATGCTATTGCCTCATCAAGTAACATACCTGGAGTTCTGTTTTGTTTCATTCACACGTTTGAGTAACACTGCACTATTATTTTTATATACCTTTTTTCTCTCGAAATTGGCAATTTGCTCAAATTAATCAAATGATTCTAGTGAATGTATGGAATGAATCTACTGAGTGGATGTGAATGTATGGAGACTCTTTCTTTTGCCTTTGTGGTTGATAAAATACATAATACTTAGATGCAGATGAGGCACATAGTTGACTAAAGAAATTCTTAGTCAATTAATGTCCTGCTGATCAATTAGTTGTCTAAAAAGGCATCTTGGCAAAAGTTCTCAAAACTGTTACTCAAAGTATGTCAATATAAAGACAGATTAAATAGAGTCATGAGTTTAATCTGCATTTCTACATAAATACAAAAAAATAACAAATGTTCGATTTACTAATTCACTAACTTTGGCTCTTGTCTGAGTCCTTATAATCTCACTGAAACAATTATTCGGCATAAACAAATTGTGTCAACTAAGGAAACATCAACTGATTAATCGACTAAATGACTAATGGACTAGAGCTCAAATGCAGACCGATGCCTTCAGCTCTATTCATAGACTGTGAATGGACATAGCTAATCTGCTAAATCCCGCCTTCTAAAAGTGAGCATGGGTGTGCGTCCGGCTCCATCAGCTCTGGTTCCCAAGTCACTTTGTATTGAAAAAACTTTACCCATCTTTTAACTGCTGCTGTTAGGCTCCTCAATTTGATTGATAAAAGTTTTGTGTTAATCCACTCTACATGATTGTGGGTTTTTTATGTCACTATGTTGTCTGTTAATCAATTCATATTCCTGAAGTCAGATCAGAATTATCCCCCATAATTGACCGGCATCCGTGAGCTTCATTTGACTGGAGCCTAACGCTGTGGGTGATGTCACATTCCCTTAGTCCACTTCTTTATACAGTCTTTGGCTCTACTGTAGACTCATGCTATCCCTGCTTATGACGTCCCATCACTTAACTCTCTTCTCTAACATCTCATCATCTTCCTCCTGTATTTCTTCTGTCAGACTTTCCTATTGTCTGTAAGGAAAAACCTTTGTAACTTCATCTGCTCATTCATCTGTGTCCATCTCTGAGTGTTATAATGAGACTCTTGGACCTGCTCACAATATAAAGCACACAGTTACAATAGGCCCCATTCCATCACTCGCTCCCAAACACACTCAGCGATTTTCCTTTACCTCCCAATAGTGTTGTTACGATACTAAAATTTCATGCTTGGAAAAAAAAAAACACACTACTACTACTCTATTTAATTATAGTACTATCCTTTATATTACCATGTGGTCCTATATCTGTGTAGTCCCTCAGTAGTCCAGCTAGGTTGCATAGTAGTCTGTGGATGTATACTATTCTATGTGTTCTGATACAGCTCAAGATCATCTTTAAGATGTTCAGGAAAGGTTCATTTCAGTCCTGTTGATGTGACTTTTTTTTTATCGATACCCGCTCGAATGAGTATCTAGTCCTGATGTATTGATGTA